AGGAGTAAGAGGTACAGTAATGGGTATCACAAAATGTCATTTATTTTTAGGTACTTAGGAGTAAGAGGTACAGTAATGGGTATCACAAAATGTCATTTATTTTTAGGTACTTAGGAGTAAGAGGTACAGAAATGGGTATCACAAAATGTCATTTATTTTTAGGTACTTAGGAGTAAGAGGTACAGTAATGGGTGAACACAAAATGTCATTTATTTTTAGGTACTTAGGAGTAAGAGGTACAGTAATGGGTGAACACAAAATGTCATTTATTTTTAGGTACTTAGGAGTAAGAGGTACAGTAATGGGTATCACAAAATGTCATTTATTTTTAGGTACTTAGGAGTAAGAGGTACAGTAATGGATATCACAAAATGTCATTTATTTTTAGGTAGTTAGGAGTAAGAGGTACAGAAATGGGAATCACAAAATGTCATTTATTTTTAGGTACTTAGGAGTAAGAGGTACAGAAATGGGTATCACAAAATGTCATTTATTTTTAGGTACTTAGGAGTAAGAGGTACAGAAATGGATATCACAAAATGTCATTTATTTTTAGGTACTTAGGAGTAAGAGGTACAGAAATGGGTATCACAAAATGTCATTTATTTTTAGGTACTTAGGAGTAAGAGGTACAGTAATGGGTATCGCAAAATGTCATTTATTTTTAGGTACTTAGGAGTAAGAGGTACAGTAATGGGTATCACAAAATGTCATTTATTTTTAGGTACTTAGGAGTAAGAGGTACAGTAATGGGTATCACAAAATGTCATTTATTTTTAGGTACTTAGGAGTAAGAGGTACAGTAATGGGTATCACAAAATGTCATTTATTTTTAGGTACTTAGGAGTAAGAGGTACAGTAATGGGTATCACAAAATGTCATTTATTTTTAGGTACTTTAGGAATAAGAGGTACATTAATGGGTATCACAATATGTCTTGTATTTTAGTTACTTTGGGAGAAAATGCAATATGTATTTTCACTGAATATACTTTCTAAGATATCATTTTATTATTTTTTGGCTTTGTAATGATGAGCAGTGTGTTACAATCAAGACTAAATAATTTATCTATAACTTACGTACCAGACATATCAGATTCGCCTCCAAAAAGACTAGATAATTATGTATCACTTACTTACCAGACATATTAGTTTGCCTACAATAAGACTAGATAATTTAAATATAACTTACATACCAAAAGTAGCAGAGTTACCTCCAACAAGACTAAATAATTTATGAATAACTTACCAGACATCAGGTTTGCCAACAACAAGAATGGATAATTTATGTGTAACTTACCAAACATCAGATTTTCCTACAACAAGACTACATAACTTATGTATGACTTACCAGACACAAGAATTGAAGGACTATATCCCGAAAATAAAGAAACATGTCTTTTAAAAGAAATGATACTCTTTTTGGCATGACAGCTCTGGTGACACCCTGCTCTATAGGCAACATTTGTTACATCCAATAGGGCGAAAGAAATGAGGTAGTGAGTCTTTGATTGTTCCTATTCTCAACAGATAGTCGATGATTCGTCTGAAACTTATCAAAAGTAAAAATAAAAATAAAAATATTTTTCTGCTTAACTAAACCTGACAAGAAAAAAAAAATTGCATTCCTTGTTTTAAGAGAACACAAAATTGAGATCAAACAAATGTTATAGTATTTTTCTGACTCTCTGCGTCTTTTCCGAATCTAGTTGTTTTACGTATATAATTTATTATTTTTTACAAAGCTCCCAGTGTCAAATTGTTACAAATTAACCTCGAGAAGGTAAATACTTTTCTTTAAGTTAAAATTCAAGGTAAATCAACAAACCCTAAGTCCTGGTCACGAGGGTGCTGCCTTTTTAATAATGTTTTGAGGATGTTGCAAGTCGTATTTACGGTCGGGTCATTCTCAAGCAGGCGATCGTGCTCAAGGTGAAAGATGCAGCGCTCACATTGGACAAGCAACCGGTTCACTTGGAGGAGGCAAACTGAATCCAAAGGAACGAATGCATAATTGTGTACAATATCTGAACTTCCAGGCAACCGCCAAGCTCAACCTGGGGACAAAGGTCACGAGCGCTATTGCGGGAGTCGGAGACTAAACACTCGGAGCTCTATTCCTGAGTAGTGTAAAGTCAGTGATGGACTACAGCATGCCCGTCCAATCCTGCAAAGCTGCATTGGAAAAAAAAAACTGGCCGAATCCTGAAACAATCTGAAATCGAATGACGTACGTTTAGTTTTCAAAACCCTACTAATTCAAGTCTTCGTACAAAGGCGTGTAGTAAAGAAATGTCAAGGCTGTCGAATAAGTTTAAAATATAAATAAAATTCCACGATATTTTACATTTAATTTTATATAGTAGAGCTTATTAGTTGGTGGGGGGGCCCAAAAGGCTCTGTTCGACAAGTCTGTAGAAGCCAAAATGATCAATAAATTGATCGTGGGCCCTTAAGATATAGAAGAAGAAGAGAAGAAGTTTGCTGACTAAAGAGGCGCTGTCTCAGACGCCCTGGCACTACCGGGGAAAAAAAATAACCATTGCGTAAGTCAGCGTGGGCAAACAGAGGACATGTATGATATCTGCCGAAACTGGTAGCATCTACGGGGCGAACAGCTGTGGCAAATCTGCAGTTGGAAAGAATGGGCGGAAACAGGGTAGGGACTATGATGACATATTGCCGTTACAGGATATGGGGCATGAGGTGGGTACTGGCAATCTCATGCCGATGATTCTATTCACCGTTTCGTCTCAGTTGCTTCGCAAACTAGTTGCGAGGTAGAAACCCAAAGTAGAAATCCGTATTATAAGGCGTCTGATGCTTCCCCGGGATGGGCAGGGGTGAGGATTTTTAGGGCGTTAAATGACCACCCTCGACTCCTGGGAAAATCGACTGCTGAAGCTGTGAAAGCAGCATCACCGTCTGACTGGATGTCCTTGTGCTGGGGTGGCCTCTGCTAGTACCCGATCGAGGGAGTGCGGGTGGGGCTTTCCCGGCATGGGGGGGGGGATCTCCAACGTGCCGCTTCATGGCCAAATAACTTGTGCTTGTGGAGGGGGGGGGCTGTTGGGGGATGGCATTAAGAGCTGATTTACTAGGGCGACGGCTCACTTACGTCGTTTCCTAATGTTCATATTCCTTTCATTTCGTTCACATACTAAATAATGACAACTTCACAGGGCTTGTGATTCATGGGATCTCGTGATAAGTTAGCGAGTTCTGGTTGGTTTTAAAATGTTTATGTACATAAGGTGCAAATTGTCTTTAAAAGCTCATTGAAACTCTTTTCGACCAATGCGCACCATTTGCGCACCATTTGCGCAGCCAGTTTCTTTCGCCACTCTTATGCCATTGTTTTTTGTCAGCGCTTAATGAACGAAAGAAATTTGACTTTTTTTTTCATAGCCATTAAATTATTTAGTCGTCATTTTCTTTAAATTAAACAGAGCTAGAATTTAGAAATAAGGAGAAAAAATAATTTAGAAATAAGGAGAAAAAGTCTATCAATTCCCCAGACTTATTGTTATTTCTCTTTTTTTTTTCTTATAAAGTTTTTTTTTAAATTGATATATAAATACAATTAAATTTTATTTTTGTTTTGCATAATCCTGGCCATGTTAGGACATCAAACATCATGGCTCCGATTGAATGTGAAAGTTAGAAACTGTAATGATTTGTAAATATGTGAGGTGAAGTATGTATAATCTTTATTTTTTCAGTAGGTAATTAAAACTTTATTGTTACAGTAGGTCAGTGTTGTCAATCCTTTTTTCGGCCTCGTGGGCCAAATATTTTTTTCCCGTGTAACCAAGGGCCGCGCATGTCATGTCAAAAGATATATTTAAAAAATACCTTCTTCGGAAAACGATTAAAATTATTAATACTTCTAAACTTATGAATAAAAAAACAAAAATCAAATAAAGTATTTGGCTTATCAATAATATAAATAAAGCGTAAAAAGAATATAGCTATTATGTATTGAAAAGTTTTGCTTTAAATTGTATTAAAACTTGTCTAAATTTTCAAGTACGATTAAGGTAGATGTTTTTCCGCATCGTCATTATCGATTGAATGAGTATTTATAAATCGCCGATATCCATGCCACTTAAGTGTCTTTAGCATGCTCACTGCGCACATTATCCATCTAAGCCTATGTCTGCCTTGAGCCTTTTCATATGGAGTTTCGGTGATGCATCCACTTCACTCTTCTGTCATCTGGCATCCTTTCTAAGTGTTCGGTCTGCCGAAGCAAGCCCTTTTTATTGCTGCTACTAGCGTGGGATCCTGATACAGACTGTACGATTCCTGGTTGTTTCGTATTCTCCATCCATATTGATCCTGTGCTGGTCCATATATTTTCCGGAAAACTCTTCTGCTCCGTGTGTTTAATGGATTGTCTGCCGTTTTTGTTAGTGTCCAGGTTTCACCTGCATGGTCTAAATACAGTTTTATATATGGTATATATATATATATATCACTTGTAGATCACATGTGTATCCCTTTTAGCGACACATTCTCATGAGAAGAATAGATTAACATATTAAATTAAAAAGAAATAATTTTTAAATTACATTATTTGTTCCCAGATCTTATTTTTCCATCTGCAACAAGATCCTGCGCATAAGAGGTTTATATTCCAGTGACAAGATCCTGCGTCTAAGAGGTTTTGGTTCCAGTAACAAGATCCTGAGTCTAAGAGGTTTTGATTCCAGTGACAAGATCCTGAGTCTATGAGGTTATGCTTCCAGTGACAAGATCCTGAGTCTAAGAGACTTGGATCCAGCGAGCTAATCTTTAGCTATCAACTATGCAGAAATTAACTGAACTTGTCGTTGGTCTCTTGGTGATATTTGCAGTCAGGAAAGGTGAAAGATAATTTAAAACTGTAAAAAACATAAGTCCGCATTGCCAGGGATATTGGCTTTAAACAAGTTATATTCCTAATAGAACAAAGATTTGTTGACCCTTTTTTAACACCCTCAGAGGATGTGACTTTAAGAAAATAGTTTTTTTCAAGACTTGATGAGTTAGTAAACGTTAGCCAAAGGGTATACGATAATGTCACTGTGTGTGGTAACATTAGAAATGAAAAAAAAATATACCATACTGTCACTGTGTGTGGTAACATTAGAAATGACCAAAAAATATACCATACTGTCGTCACTGTGTTTGGTAACATTAGAAATGACCAAAAAAATATACCATACTGTCACTGTGTGTGGTAACATTAGAAATGACCAAAAAATATACCATACTGTCACTGTGTGTGGTAACATTAGAAATGACCAAAAAAATATACCATACTGTCGTCACTGTGTTTGGTAACATTAGAAATGACCAAAAAAATATACCATACTGTCACTGTGTGTGGTAACCTTAGAAATGACCAAAAAATACACCATACTGTCACTGCGTGTAATCAAGATTAGAAGTGACAAAAGGTTACGATAATGTCACTGTGTGTGGTAACATAAGAAATGACACCAAAAAAATATACCATACTGTCACTGCGTGTAATCAAGATTAGAAGTGACAAAAGGTATACGATAATGTCACTGTGTGTCGTAACATTAGAAATGACACCAAAAAAAAAATACCATACTTCCCTGTCATTAAATCAAGATTAGAAGTGACAAAAGGTATACGATAATGTCACTGTGTGAGGTAACATTAGAAATGACACCAAAAAAATATACCATACTATCACTGCCTGTAATCAAGTGATGAAAAGTGACAAAAAACTATAACATAATGTCGCTGCGTGTGGTAAGATGAGGAGTGACCAAAAGTGTACCACAAGATAAAATTTAAATCAAAACAACAACAAAAAAAACGTCACTTCTTCACTTTACTCTTGCAGGGATTACCGACCCCGAGGAATATCAGATGTGGAGAAGACCTGTGAGAACGTTCATGGACCCTGTGGATTTCCGGAAAAGAACTTGCCCCGACGGCTTCGTCCAGGATGTCGATTACTTAATCATCAGCGGCGTCGTCAACGTCACCGACATAGGCCATCCGCCCCTGGACGCATGTGTTTTAGTTTTTTATGAAGAAGGCGGAGGCTTCACCCATGTAAGTTGGAGCTCGTGTTTTAGTTTTTTTTAAGAAGTAGGCGGAGGCTTCACCCATGTAAGTTGGTGCTCGTGTTTTATTTTTTTAAGAAGTAGGCGGAGGCTTCACCCATGTAAGTTGGAGCTCGTGTTTTAGTTTTTTTAAGAAGTAGGCGGAGGCTTCACCCATGTAAGTTGGTGCTCGTGTTTTATTTTTTTATGAAGAAGGTGGAGGCTTCACCCATGTAAGTTGGTGCTCGTGTTTTATTTTTTTAAGAAGTAGGCGGAGGCTTCACCCATGTAAGTTGGTGCTCGTGTTTTATTTTTTTAAGAAGTAGGCGTTGGCTTCACCCATGTAAGTTGGAGCTCGTTTATTTTATTTTGATTATTTTTTTTTTCATAACGTTCCAATTATGCGGCTCATATCCGATGAGATCAGTGGTTTTCAAACTTCCTAGGGGCGTGACCCTTTAATACAGCGCCCCACGTTGTGGTGACCCCCAACCATAAAATTATTTTCGTTGCTATATTAATAACACTGTAGAGTACATGAGTTTTCCGAATGGTCTTTGGCGACCCATGTGAACGGGTTGTTCGACCGCCCCAAAGCCAAAGGGGTCGTGAGCCACGGGTTTAGAGCCACTGGAATAGACTGTATTCTTTGGTTGTGTCGGTATCATATTATGTCATTGTCAGAGATATGAAGATATGAAACACTAATGGGAGACAAGTAGTATGGTTAATATTTGTTGCATAAGATTGTTTGGGACTTAAGAGGAACTTGGCCAATCAGAGTTTTGGTTGAATAAAGTTGCGTAGGAAAAAAAAAAATGGTGGGGGGGGGGGGGAAAAATTTTTTATACTTTTTTTTTTTTTGTAATTTTTTTAAACTCTTTTAAGTTTTAAAGTTTTTTTTTTTTTTTTTATTTTTTTNAACACTAATGGGAGACAAGTAGTATGGTTAATATTTGTTGCATAAGATTGTTTGGGACTTAAGAGGAACTTGGCCAATCAGAGTTTTGGTTGAATAAAGTTGCGTAGGAAAAAAAAAATGGTGGGGGGGGGGCGAAAAATCATTCATACAGTTCTGATATTAGCAATATTTTTAAACTCCTTTAAGATGTAAAGCTCATTTTGTTTATTTTATTTATTTTTTTTTTGTTTTTTTTTTTTTTTTTTTTTTTTTTTTTTTTTTTTTTTTTTTTTTTTTTTTTTTTTTTTTTATTTTTTTTTTTTTTTTTTATTTTTTTTTTTGTTTATTTTTTTTTTTTTATTTTTTTTATTAATGTCATTATTATTGATATTGTTTTAATTACGGTAATATTATATTCATTATCTTTATAATATTATTATTATCAATAGTATTACCATCATCATTATTATTATTATTGTTTAATTATTATTGTTATCATTTATTATTATTATTATTATCATCATCATCATCGAAATATTAAGACCTAACGGAGGTCTACCTAATTATTTTAATTTTCCAGATCTGGAAGTCAAGATATCACTTGGGGAAAGAGCCGTGCGTCGACCTTAAGCGGGTGCCTGCGACGTCGTGCCGTTGTCTAGCGCAGGACGCCAAGCAGATTCGTATCAAGTGCAACATAACAATGAAAACGGAGTATCACAGAAGTATCTTTGCGTTGGCTTATCTATCCAACACGCTCTACGTCAGTGCAGCGTCGGAGCGCCTCCCTAACGTATACAGTTAAGTCACTTGGACCTCATAGCATTCATTTGTTTCAAATATATTAATATTAAAATGTTCCTTTGATTAAAAGGAAAAGGCTTGTTTGTTTCAGTACGGTTATATCAAGTTAATTGTCCCAAATGTAAAAATAGGCATGTTTTTGAGTTATGTTATAGCCTTTGTGTCGACCTAATTTTGCTTCAACGTAGCGCTCTGACGATCCCCCACTTGTTTCTCCCCCCCCCACACCCCTCCCAATCGACTTTTCTGATTTAATATCAACCTCACCAATAAAATGTGTAGCACTCTTACCTTTACACATGGCTCCCTTGAGTGGGAAAAGTTTATTTACATTCTAATTTGTTCTAAAGTATGCTATCGGATGATCCAAATTTCTAGAATTTCTTCTCTGGGCGTGTGTTCTAACTGCCTCTATATGAATAAGCCGGCAGCTTTCCCAGCTGAAAGCCATTGACTAGATTTACTAGACACGATACATCTTTAAAATAGGAGTCTTTAATGATTGTACTCTGAGCGTGTGAATACATATCTATGTTAATATTTGTTTCTTTTGAGGGGTATACTTTTTCCCTTTCTTTGCTGTAAGTTAGTATAATTTTTATTGATATAGTTTTGATTTGCATTTTTAGAAAATAATTAACATTCTTCATCCCTAATTAAGAATCAAAGCGCGGTTGACAACAACCATTTATGACAATTTATGTTTTTCCACATTAAAATACAATGTTAAGACAACTAGCTTTGATATCTTTTTTTTCTTTTGTATGGTTTTTTTAGTCTTTTTTACGTATGGTTCATAACGAGCCAAATCTTAGAACAGATTAGATTTGTATAACCATAGAACGGTACGTAGCAAGGTTTTGAACCGAATTTCTATTACTCTCAGATCTTGTTGACTGACCAGACAGACTATGTACCTTTTCAGAGTAAATAACATGTAAAAATCTGGTTACTTTACTCACATTTTGAGGTTGGTAGGCTAAAAATAGTTTGATTTGATCATTATCTATCAAGGTGTAGAGCTTGAGAGGACAGTCAAAGGGCACAAGAACATAGAAATAATGCCCCCTCCCCCCCTCCCCCCCCCCCGCACCAATCCCATTAAAAAAAATCATTAACGGGATCTACCTGTTTTTCAAAATACGTCCAGCCTTGAATGGCACGTGTTCAGAGCATTGCTGCCCCTGAAACAAGTAATTCGTTTTCAGAAACCTCAGTAAAGGTGTTAACCACGGCCTAGCGAAACTGAGAGAAAGAAATGCAGGGGGGCGATGCGTTCATCCCATATCCTATTGGAGTGTCACAAAACAACGAACTCTCGGCGTCAAATGAAATTAATTAAAGTTTAAAATGGATCTTCATGTCTCGTCTTGTCGCATCTTTCACTGTTGGTCACTTTTTATGTTTAATTTAATAGATAAGAAAAGACGACACCGCACAGGGGGGGGGGGTCCTATTGCGTATTGATAAGCCACTTGCCAAATCATTCAACTGCGCGATACCTAAAAGGGTTTCCCTAGAGAATCGAAAAATCCTTCTTAATAAACCCGACATCTTTTTTATTTTTAATTTAATAGAAAAGAAAAGACGACACCGCACAGGGGGGGGGGTCCTATTGCGTATTGATAAGCCACTTGCCAAATCATTCAACTGCGCGATACCTAAAAGGGTTTCCCTAGAGAATCGAAAAATCCTTCTTAATAAACCCGACATCAAAAGGGTATTTTTGTCCCCCTCCTCGCATTGTCTTAAGAAGGTACACTAAAATCTAGGTGGCTTTCTGGTACACAGTCAGCTTCGAGGTGACGTGTCTCACATTGGAGACTAAACCACGCTCAAGAATCCGTTGTGGGACTCGTCCCTACACACTCAAAACCAAAAAACAATAGCCCCCCTAAGGGTACTTTTATCATCAGAGAAGTCTTCACGTGTTTTAATCGAAATCTGGTCTATGCCCTAGATGCTGCTCCTGTTAGCTTCTTCTTCTTCTATATCTTAAGGGCCCACGATCAATTTATTGATCAGTTTGGCTCCTATGCATGTAGATGGGATTTGCAATGTTTATACACACAACTAAATCGTAGACTGCCATTGCTCGATCACAACCTTTACCGTTATAAAGATGAAACGGTAAGAAGATTTACGTGATAGATTCACTGAACATCTTCATGATATCGAACATGCCCCGGTGTCATCCCTTTCATCAGAGATCATCGGAGATAAACACAAAAATAAATCAGATTTTCCCATCATGGCCCTAATGTCCTCCACTAACACATCGCCGAAAATTAGATAGAGGAAACAAATTCATCCAGATTTTCACCATATGAAATCAACCAAATAATCTCCTACTAGTGATCTTCAACTTCCTTGTGTTTTCTTTTTTTTATTTCTTACATTTCACAAATTTCCTAAATGTTTCCGTTAAAATCTGATTTTTTCGCAGTCATGATACATAAATTGTTGTACTTCTTGTAATCTTTTGGATAGAGCAAATTTTTCGATTTTTCATAATTCAACTTCCAGCATTTTTTGGTTGTTTTTGGTTTTTGGTGTGTTTTTTTTATCTTGTCAGCTGAAGACGGCATTAAGCCGACACTTTCTCCTTTTATTGTCCTGTATTTATTTTTAACACTTCGAAATAATTTGTTCAACTCCTTCCTCACACAGTTTGAACGCAGTCCTTCATTTAATATTTTTAGTCTGCTCCCAGCAAGTGAAGTTTTTAAAAAACATTTTTTTTAACCATTTTCCCATTTTCTCCAGTGACAACCGATCCGGCTGTGACAGACTTATTATAAATCTCACAAATATGCAAAGGCACCAACACGCTTTAGTTTTGTTTAAATACTATTTGTTTAAATACTATTTGTTTAAATACTATTTGTTTAAATACTATTTGTTTAAATACTATTTGTTTAAATATTATTTGTTTAAATACTATTTGTTTAAATACTATTTGTTTAAATACTATTTGTTTAAATACTATTTCTTTAAATACTATTTGTTTAAATACTATTTGTTTAAATACTATTTGTTTAAATACTATTTGTTTAAATACTATTTTAAACTTTAAAGTTAAGTGACCTTAAAATTTCTTGTTAAACAACATAAAAAAAAAACTGTTGTATTTTCAAAATATCTATTATTCTATTTTAAGATGATTCTTCTTGCTTGAACAGGAACATATCTTCAAGAAATCATGGTAAGAATTTTTTTTTTTTTAAACTTAGCTTACTGTAAGACCAGCGGTTCCCGAAATGTGCAGGCGGGTCGGACGTACAAAGTCATTAATTTATGTTTAAATTTAATCTGATGATACGCGACAGTTCCTAAGATATGATAAGACCAGCAGTTCTCTTAGTAAATAATGTTTGTAGAAGGCATTACGAAACAATACAAAATGGCGCTTTGTGGTATTAAATATTGGTTTCATCTCTTCGTACCTTAGACTCATACCATTTTAAGATACCTAAGAGTATTCGCCTTTTCCCGTGGTACGTATTCGACTTGGAAAGGCTTTGGAGAAATATCACGAATCAGCCAAAAACAGCGATGATGAAAACATTTTGAGAACCGCTGATCTAGAACAATTTTGTATTTGTTTTTAAGAAAAATAATTTGTGGCCGGCTTATTTACTTTTTTTTCGGCCTAGTGGCAGTTGGAAAAATACAACTTATTCTTTCTTCATTCAATTTATAAATAAATTGTTTTTTTTAAAGGTGAGAGATTAGATAAGCAAGACGTCACTTGTTTGGTGGGTGGGAGTGGGGGCGCTTAAAGCCTGGTATAGCATGCAACAAGAGCGCCACTTAAGGGAAATAATCGCCCTGGAAGACAGAGAAGGGTGCGACCAATCAGATCAGGTTGCATCAATAATCAGGTTGCCAACATGGCTTTTTGCATCAGAAAAAGCTGCGAACAGAGTAGTTTGCATCAAATCAGGTGTCATGATGGCTTTTTGCATCAGATCAAGCTGCGAACAGATCAGTTTGCAAGATGTCTCGTTGCCAGCAAATGAAATTTGAAGGGGGGAAAGGCTCCAATTATAACCATTGTGGAGAGGTGACACCAATTCTATTGACGCCACTACAATACTGTTGGATGGTTGTCATGAATCATCACACATTTAATTTCTGTCCCTGAAATTTGATTGACTTACAAAGCTCCCTCTCTTACGTAACTATTTTTATCAGAGCGACTTAAAAAACATATAAAAATACATGATTTTAAAAATAAAATTAGAAGCCTTTCTAAAGCATGGCATTCAATGCTTTTTGCAGGATCTAGTCTTCTTGGAAGCGGCAATGATATGTCTGGTAAGTGATACATAAATCATCTAGTCTACTTGAAGGGCGACTATGTCTGGTGAGTAAATTGAACATACATTATCTAGACTACTAAGAGGTGGCTATGCAATGTCTGGTAAGTTAAACATAAATGATCTATTCTATTTTGAGGGAATCAGTATAGTGTTAGGACGAGTATAGCATTTATATATGAATAATCTAAGCCCTTGACAGGCTACTATAACATTTTCTCACATTTCATTTCATAGGCATTCTATGTCTTGAAAATGTAATTGTTGATTTAAAAGCATTTACAAAGAATACTAAAGATCCCAGACAATGGCATCTATTTTATTTGTAGGCGATACTTAACGACCTGCATTGCATTTCCCTTCCACCCATTGGCGATTCTAAGTAGGCGAATGAGGTGGCCCTTTCTGCTGGCCCTTTCTAGCGGCCCTTTCTGGTGGCCCTGTCTGGTGGCCCTTTCTGTTGGCCCTTTTTGATGGCCCTTTCTGGTGGCCCTTTCTGGTGGCCCTTTCTGGTGGATCTTTCTGGTGGCCCTTTCTGGTGGCCCTTTCTTGTGGCCCTTTCTGGTGGAGCAAGATTGGGGGTAGGGAGGGGGTATAAATCGGATTAGTTATAACAAAATAATTTTTTTTTTAAATTTACCTTTCGAGTAAAGAAAACGTGTCTTTACACTAATCTCTGTACAGTCGTGATTATTCATAATTAGTTAAAGGCCTTACTCTCTTATTATCGTTAAATAGACTTCTTGTTTTGTTTTTTTTAAATCAGTAATGCATATGTTTTGTTTACATACGTTTGGCTAATTCATTACAATTTTTTTAAATCCCATTTTTATCTATGCGCCATATATATATAATAATATAAGTATATTTCACATCTTGTCCGGAATGATCCGGGATTCTATAAAATGCTCAGATTTCACACTTAGCCTGAAAAATATACATTTGCAAAAGTGTTGCCCCAGGGCTGTAACAACCTTCTTACCTCAAGGTCTAGAAATACAATCGGTCTTGGTGTCGAAGCTTAAAATAGTCTTTTGCTCCTTAAATTTCCTAAATTATATTATTGCTCTAGAATTTGTTTGTGTTTTTTTTTCCTTTCTGCTTGTCCTTAAACGTTCACATATCTGCAAAGAGTTTCAACCGTTTCCTATTTCCACAGTCATCGGCATCATCTTCACGGCTTTCGTCATCCCGGTCTCATCGCTGTTTTCCTTTGACCAATGATCTCAACCCACTTCGGCTGAAGCCTTGAAATTAAATGCCAAAAATAAATAAATAAATAAATAAATAAATAAATTCCTTTAAGAAATGTAAAAGTTTTCATCATAAGCATAATATGCAAATAGAATATACCCGAACACCCCAACCCCCAAAAAATAAAATAAAAATATCTACAGTTATTAAACTCGATTAAAAACGCAAAATGATTTAAAAAAAAACAAAAACAAAAAACACAATTTAATCGTGTTGTTTATTTTTACATCTTAACAAATGTTTATAGATATAGTAAAAATAACTTATTTTAACAACAGGAAAACAATTAAATGGCCATGAATAGGAGAATAATATTTCAATTAAAATAATCGTGTCCAATGCACATTACGTCTTGCGTTTTCCTATGTTATATGAAGCTACGTGTGATTATGTTTGTGTGTATGTTTGTGTGTGTGTTTGTTTATATATGAATGGGGCGATCAATCACAAGAAAATCAACGATGGATTACAACCAAATTTGACATGGCCATTTCTCCTCCAGGCCTACAGATGGTTCCTGGAAGCTTGGCCATAATCTCCTTATCCCGAAATCCTTAATGTGAAAAAATCGTAAAATTTTGAGGGTAAAGAGTAAAAAAAAAAAAGAACACCAATTTCAAATGACTTCGACGGACGTTCAAATTAAGTTCATTTTGGTGTACGCAGTTTTACTTAGCCTTTTTTTTCTCAGAACGTCCAGCTTTCAAACAGCTGTTACCGTAAGTTTTTAGTGCGCTTGTTATGGGTGCAAGCACATTGTATTATAATAATCCTCAACATTAAATGGCAGGAGAGGGTCCAAGACACTGAGGTGCTCACACAGGCAGGTCTCCCCAGCAACTTTACCATCTTAATGAAGTCTGACATGTTGTGAGAATGTCAGTCGACCGTCTGCGAAAAAAAAACATTTCTATGGTGAGCCCGAACAAGGAAAGCGGTCTGCTGGCGGGCAGAAGAAACGTCTTAAAGACAACCTAAAAGCCTCACTGAAAGCGTTCGACATAAACCCAGACATGGGGGAAGGGGGGAGAGCAAAAGATTGAACATCATGGCGTATCACTTTACACAGGAGCTCCACGCAACATTAAGTTGGCAGAACAGCGGCTGCAGAGCTCTAGAGACGTGCCAGGAAGGCCCGGTCTGACTCTACTCCCGGAGATGCTCCTTCTCTAAAGCGATGGGGAATTTTTTTCAGTAGCGTATTGGTTGTTCTCTTCACTGCATGTCTAGCACACGATGGTCAGACCATATTGAAAGGATAACGCTAGTGCTAGATGTCAAAAAAGAAATAGAAATACTCTTGGACTTAAACCCAACTGCCACCAAAAAAATAACAGAGATAAATGGAGCTACGACTCATGTCCCATTTTTCATTTGTGTGAAATCTCGATTGTATGGTACCAAGTATTAGTTCATGTTGATATCTGTATCATGATTATTTAGCCCAGAAATACAACGCTGGATGTCCAAGTGTCCAAGTCGGAAAGCTTGATTTCAGAACTGAATATTGTTTGGCAAAGCTGGAAAAGTATACGGTGGGATGCTAAGGATGTTGGTCTAAAGAAGATGAATAGGATGAATCCTCTGAGGAAGCATGTTTCATATAATCTATTTTCTTTGTAATATTGGTTAATGTTCATAGTGGACCCACTGTTCATTTTAAAGCTGTATAGAAAATTTCTGAGAAGTTCAGCTTCCTCTGGAAGTACCAATCCTTTCCTTAAGATGAAATGAGCAAACAAAAATCAAAATGACTGACAGATATATGCCACTGATATCAGTTAAAATCTTACAATGGAGATAAGTCATTTGTCATCTTTCATCAACCAAAATTTTGAAAGGGCCAACCGAATCCGATGGAGCTTCTGAATTGCTTGAAAAGAAAAAAGCTGGAAGTACTCGTTACAACTATATGTGTAAGCGTCCGTAGTCTGTTAAACATTCCTGTCACTGTCGGCTCGGCAGATTCCTCAGTCAGCGAACAAAAACTTTCTTTTTTTATTTACCTTGCTCGACTTTTTAACAGATACAGCAGGTAGATTTGGCAAGTCTCACAAATGAGACGTGTAGATTTAGCAAGTCTCATTATTGAGCCTGGTAGATTTAGCAAGTCTCATTATTGAGCCTGGTAGATTTAGCAAGTCTCATTAGTGAGCCTGGTAGATTTAGTAAGTCTCACTAATGAGACTGGCAGATTTGGCAAGTCTTAGTATTGAGACCGGTAGAGTTGGCAAGTCTCAGTATTGAGACCGGTAGAGTTGGCAAGTCCCAGTTTTGCGACTGGTCTTACAAACCAGTTTAGCACCAACCAGTGTAGCACCAACCAGTGTATCCCCAACCAGTGTAGCATCAGCCAGTGTAGCACCAACCAGTGTAGCATCAGCCAGTGTAGCACCAACCAGTGTAGCACCAACCAGTGTAGCACCATCCAGTGTAGCATCAGCCAGTGTAGCATCAGCCAGTGTAGCACCAACCAGTGTAGCACCAACCAGTGTAGCACCAACCAGTGTAGCATCAGCCAGTGTAGCACCAACCAGTGTAGCATCAGCCAGTGTAGCACCACCCAGTGTAGCACCAACCAGTGTAGCACCAACCAGTGTAACACCAACCAATGTAGCATCAGCCAGTGTAGCATCAGCCAGTGTAGCACCAACCAGTGTAGCACCAACCAGTGTAGCACCAACCAGTGTAGCACCAGCCAGTGTAGCACAAACCAGTGTAGCACCAGCCAGTGTAGCACCAACCAGTGAAGCACCAACCTAGTGTAGCGCCAACCAGTGTAGCACCAACCAGTGTAGCACCAACCAGTGTAGCATCAGCCAGTGTAGCATCAGCCAGTGTAGCACCAGCCAGTGTAGCACCAACCAGTGTAGCACCAACCAGTGTAGCATCAGCCAGTGTAGCACCAACCAGTGTAGCATCAGCCAGTGTAGCACCAACCAGTGTAGCACCAACCAGTGTAACAGCAACCAGTGTAGCACCAACCAGTGTAGCACCAACCAGTGTAGCATCAGCCAGTGTAGCACCAACCAGTGTAGCACCAACTAGAATAACTGAAACCAGTGTAACACCAGCAGTGTAGCACCAACCAGTGTAACACAAACTAGCGTAAAAACAGCCAGTGAAAAACCAACCAGAGTAACACCAACTAGAGTAGCACCAAACAGTGTAGCACCACCTAGTGTAGCATCAACTACTTTAGCACCAACCAGGGTATAATCAAACAGGGCAGCACCAACCAGTGTAATACCAACCAGTCTAGCACCAACCAGTGCATCTCCAACCCTTGTAGCACCAGCCAGAGTAACACCAGCCCGTGTAACACCAACCCGTGTAAAACCAGCCAGTGTAGCACCAGCCCTAGTGGCACCAACCCGTGGAAAACTCTTATGAACCACAGTGGGATCTCTTTGGTGGATCTGGAAAGGAAATATTTTCCACACATCTTAAAATGTGGTTATCTCTCTACCAGCCTGTTATTGTAAAATCCTATCCCTCTCATTTGTAAAGATGAACATTTCTCTTGTCTGGCCCTCAATCAAATTCTTTATATTAACTTCGCTCATGTCCTTGTGTTTGTGTCAAAATCTCCGGAAGGTTAGTTGACCCATTCCTCGTCAACCTAACGAGCCGAGACGTGGAACAAAGACTCGTTCCGATGACGAAATAATTGATACATTTTCAGCCAAGCCCACCCCCCCCCCCCCCGCCCAACCCAACTACCCAAAAATCAGTTTTTGGTATTTAACAAGGGGAAGATGGAGGAAATATAACACCACCGATGTTATGCAATACAATTCCCGATAACTGCGCTGAATGAGATTCTTAAATGAAATATCGCACGATAGTTTGGTGCGTAATATTTTCTTTTTTTTTCTGAAATTGTTGGCGTAATTAATCTGCGGTAACAAAAGGTTTGAACAATAAAATATAAATATAAAATAAAATAATTTTTTTAAAGCCTATAAAGGATGTATACGATTTTTTTTATAATTTTTAAAATATTTTTTTTTTGTTCAATTTGGTGTTCTTTAATTTTTTCCAATCAGATGTGTTTCACTTTTAGAAAATTCACCGTACTAAAGTTGTTACAGTCTAACTGTGTCGCATTCTCGCAACATGCCCTAACCCTCTGGCTTATCTTTTATTTAGTAATAAGGTGTTGATGCTGCTCGATTCGGCCCTCTAACGTCTTCTGTATCAAGGCTTTCCTGCTGCCACCGTCTCCACACGTTGTTTGATTAGGTGGAGAGTGTTTAGTTGCCTGGCCCAATGGTCGGAAAACTCATTAGTCAAAAGAGGCAAAATTCAACAGCAGGACGATTAAAAAAAAATTTGACTGCCAAATTTTTCAAGACCCTGTCAAGAACCATGTTTTTCGGAGACAAAACCGATTTTCAGTCGACTGGCCGAGCTGCATATAGCTCGTAAGCTCCGCTTTGCCGACCACTGGTCTAGCGTTACACCGTTCACATCTCGCCGGCATCAGTACAGTTCATCTTACGATTGCCCCATATACTTTCTAATAGGTGTCAAGACTCTGATCCATTATATATGGATATATAAGAAAAAACCGAAAAAAAGGAAACTACACAATCAAACCTTGCTTAATTCTAATGCGCACCATAATTTGTCCATTTTCAGTGCGCGGTTGATTTGTTGGAAATATTATATTTTTTGTTAAATTTGAACGCGTTCTTTAAACAAAATAAAATATGAGACACTTCACTGCGCTTCAATTATTTGGTCATCGTTGTATTTAAATTAAAAGAGTTAAAGCCTACAAATAAAGAAAAGAAGATAACAGACCGTAAAAATGAAACAAATTAACTTTTCACTTTAAAAAAAATCTAAAAATAAATAATTAAATAGGAATTAAAAAAACAAACATGTAAATATGTAAATCAATTTAAAATCTGGTTTTTTAAAAAATTCTAGCCGTGTCATCAAGGACAAGCACTATCTTGGATACGATTCAGGCTTCAAATTTAAAGTTGTAAGTTTTTAAAATATAAAGTCGGGTATCAAACGTCCTTACTGCAGTAAGTATTTTAAAATGCATTGCCAATGTCAACTTTAGGAACCAAGAAGTTTAGGTTTGTTAAGATAAAAAAGTCTTAAAACTTGATCTGTGTACATTTCTACTGCTGATGTTAGTGATGGCATTCATATTAACGCAGGCCTGCTCAACATACGACCCGCCAGCTCCCAATTTACGGCCTGCAGAGTAACTAAATATTCTTTTTTTATATGGCGTAGATTTAATAAAAGCGATAGACCTAGATTTAAAACAGCGTTAGATTAGATTCACTACAGCGATAGACCTAGATTCAATGCTGCGATAGACCTAGATTCAATGCTGTGATAGACCTAGAATCAAAACAGCGTTAGACCTAGATTTAAAACAGCGTTAGGCCTAGATTCAATACAGCTATAGACCTAGATTCAATACAGCGATAGACCTAGATTCAATGAAGCGATAGACCTAGATTCAATGAAGCGATAGACCTAGATTCAATGAAGCGATAGACCTAGATTCAATGAAGCGATAGACCTAGATTCAATACAGCGATAGACCTAGATTCAAAACAGCAATTCAAAATTCAATACAATGACAGGGCTTGATGCAACAAAAGATAGGTCTAAATCGATGTGTTTTTTAAAATCGTATTTTGTTGACAAGAGGAAAGAAAAAAGTTGTTTAACCAAAGAAGCATTGACCGAATCTGAACAAATAAATTAATCACCCTGGATCCAATACTTTTAATGAGATTGAAAGCGTAGTAATAGAAAAAAATGGCGTAAAATATTCGTTTATTGGCTTGAATTCCAAAAAAGATCGATTCTTTATTATAAGAGAAAAGATGATACTTTTGAATTTAAACAAGGAAAATAAATTATAGCATTATTTTTTTTTTTTTTAAGACAGATCTCTTTCTTTTTTCAGTCTTGAAAAAGATTCTCACCCTAAGACAGTTCGGTTCCTGTCAGCTCATCTTCTGCCTCCAACTATGCAGAAATTAACTGAAATTCTTGCCTGCCTCGTTTTAATAGTCGTCCTCGGAAAACATGGTAAGAGTTTATGAAAAAACTGCCATCACGTCAGCTTAAATTTTGCAAAGTTACGTCTCAAAAAGAACTTAACGTCAGACCCAGGTAATGTTTTAATCGAGTGAGGATCAACGCATTTCTTATACCATACGCTGACAGAACACCATGATAAATACGAGTGTTGATATTTATTTCTTATACCATACGCTGACAGAACACCATGATAATACGAGTGTTGATAATTTATTTCTTATGCCATACGCTGGCAGAGCACCATGATAATAGGAGTGTTGATATTTATTTCTTATACCATACGCTGGCAGAGCACCATGATAATACGAGTGTTGATATTTATTTCTTATACCATACGCTGACAGAACGCCATGATAATACGAGTGTTGATATTTATTTCTTATACCTTACGCTGGCAGAGCACCATGATAATACGAGTGTTGATATGTATTTCTTATACCATACGCTGGCAGAGCACCATGATAATACGAGTGTTGATATTTATTTCTTATACCATACGCTGACAGAACACCATGATAATACGAGTGTTGATATTTATTTTTTATGCCATACGCTGGCAGAGCACCATGATAATATGAGTGTTGATATTTATTTCTTATACCATACGCTGGCAGAGCACCATGATAATACGAGTGTTGATATGTATTTCTTATACCATACGCTTGCAGAGCACCATGATAATACGAGTGTTGATATTTATTTCTTATACCATACGCTGACAGAACACCATGATAATACGAGTGTTGATATTTATTTCTTATACCATACGCTGGCAGAGCACCATGATAATACGAGTGTTGATATTTATTTCTTATGCCATACGCTGGCAGAGCACCATGATAATATGAGTGTTGATATTTATTTCTTATACCATACGCTGGCAGAGCACCATAATAATACGAGTGTTGATATTTATTTCTTATACCATACGCTGACAGAACACCATGATAATACGAGTGTTGATATTTATTTCTTATACCATACGCTAACAGAACACCATGATAATACATGTGTTGATATTTATTTCTTATACCATACGCTGGCAGAGCACCATAATAATACGAGTGTTTATATTTATTTCTTATACCATACGCTGGCAGAGCACCATGATAATACGAGTGTTGATATTTATTTCTTATACCATACGCTAACAGAACACCATGATAATACATGTGTTGATATTTATTTCTTATACCATACGCTGGCAGAACACCATGATAATACGAGTGTTGATATTTATTTCTTATACCATACGCTAACAGAACACCATGATAATACATGTGTTGATATTTATTTCTTATACCATACGCTTTACGGAGTACCGCGATAGTAAGTGTTTTGTATGTGTACAGAAAATAAAAAAAAATAATGACTTCATGAACTTTTACCGTAAGACGATCAATTTAACGTATTTTCACTTTTGAAGTGAGATAATTTTGATTTTTTAAAAATATTTTTATGCCATTTTTTGCAGATACATGAATGGTTAGGATAGGTACATTAAAAAAGAATGAAATAGCTGCAGGAAGTTTTATGAGTGTGCTATATTTTATATACTCTTCGTTATACTTGTCTTAAATTTAAAGCCTCTCCCTAGTGATGGGATTACACTAAGCAGTAAAAAAAAAAATCTCGGTTACTTTTAGATCTGTTCCTAGCGTTATTTAGGTTACTGGTTCCTAGCGTTATTTAGGGTACTGGTTCCTAGCGTTATTTAGGTTACTGGTTCCTAGCGTTATTTAGGGTACTGGTTCCTAGCGTTATGTAGGGTACTGGCTCCTAATGTTATTTAGGGTACTGGTTCCTTTGTTATTTAGGGTAATGGCTCCTATAGTTATTTAGGATACTGGCTCCTATAGTTATTTAGGGTACTGGCTCCTATAGTTATTAGGGTATTGACTCCTAGTGTTATTTATGTTACTGTTTCCCAGCGTTATTTAGGGTACTGTTTCCTATTGTTATTTAGAGTACTGGTTCCTAGCGTTATTTAGGGTACTGGCTCCTAGCGTTATTTAGAGTACTGGTTCCTAGCGTTATTTAGGGTACTGGCTCCTAGCGTTATTTAGGGTACTGGTTCCTAGCGTTATTTAGGGTACTGGTTCCTAGCGTTATTTAGGGTACTGGTTCCTAGCGTTATCTAGGGTACTGGTTCCTATTGTTATTTAGGGTACTGGTTCCTAGCGTTATTTAGGGTACTGGCTCCTATAGTTATTTAGAGTACTGGCTCATATAGTTATTTAGGGTACTGGCTCCTATAGTTATTTAGGGTACTGGCTCCTATAGTTTTTTAAGGTACTGGCTCCTATAGTTATTTAGGGTATTGACTCCTAGTGTTATTTATGTTACTGTTTCCCAGCGTTATTTAGTGTACTGTCTCCTATTGTTATTTAGAGTACTTGTTCCTAGCGTTATTGATGGTGCTTATTCCTTGTGTTGTTTAGGGTCCTCATTCCTAGTGTTATTTTGGTTACTTATTCCTAGTGTTTTTTAGGGTACTGATTCCTAGTGTTATTTAGGTAACTGAGTTCTAGTGTTATTTAGATAACTGATTTCTAGTGTTATTTAAGGTACTGACTCCTAGTATTACTTAGGGTACTGACTCCTAGCATTATTTAGGGCACGCCAGCACACCATGAGGCCCTTACAGTGGCTAAACACGAGGCTATCTCATTTGCCTTTGGAAAAATTAATTACTATTTAAAAATAAAAATAAAATTGCTTGATTGATTTGTGCGCACCCAAACAGAAATTAGCTACATGGATGTACCTGCATCTCATGTCTTCTGTGAAGCGGAACATTTATAAATGGGGCCAGACACGATTTGCCTTTGAGAGGAAGATGGTGATCAGGAGATAAAATGTTAACACTTAAACTTCAGTGTTACACAATAGAGTAATTCTACTTCAAATTTATTTGATCATGTCCTGTGTGAAAAATTGTTCGTAAATGTACTGAATAGAAGATGCGTTCCACAGCAAAAATGGACTGACCACATTGACAGAAAGGGAAATCTGGAAATTCGATGAAACATCACATCAGAAAACAAAATAAATGAAACGTTTTTAATAAAAGGAACATAATTGAATACTTAAGGTTCTCTATTTATTCTTGTGAAAATATTGCAATCGCTTAGATCAGTGATTCTCAACATTCGTAATGCCGCGACCATTTAATACTGCTCCCCATGATGTGGCGAACCCAGCAACAAAAAAATTTTTCGTTGCTGCTTCATAACTGTAGAGTATATGTGTTTTCAGATGGTCTTAGGTGACCCCTGTGAAAGGGTTGTGCGACCTTCAAAAGGGTCACGACCCACAGGTTGAGAACCGCCGGCTTAAATCAATATTCAGAGAACCTAAAGCTCAGAGTGCAGTTGAAGATTTCACAATAACAATTAAATGCATGCAACGTTAGCCTAATAGCAACTACTATGAAAAAAAAAGATTGATTTCACCCTGGCATCGAGATTTGTTATTAGCTTATAAAAATCTAACAAAAGAGCATCTTTGATGAAGAAAAACAATACAAAGTCTCCAGTAAATATGTTATTTTGGGTATAAAATGAGGAATTTATGTTGTAACACACTATTCTTTTAATTATTAATATAAGGTTTCATGCTTTAAAAAAACATATGTCCAATATCTAAAAACCTATAGTTGAAGAATTCCACAAGATAGATGTGCACATAGTAATAGTGCATAGGCTGGTCATGCACAAGTAAGCCTTGCTCATGGTTTTCACGCAGACATTTCTGTTTGAATTTAAAATTACGCTCACCAATCCTACACATTCAAAACATTAAATTTTAGTTTCTTTAAGGACTACATAACCAGTCAGCCCTCCATGACACAAACTCAAACATCCTTACCATGGCTTGTCCAGCGGTCCTCATACCTTGACTAAAAACACTAAAATATGTTGGCTTTTTTTTCTGGCTGAGACAACCAGTAGATCAAACTTGTAGAGAATTCACACAACACTCACAGGCCCCAAGAATTTAAACGTATGCTGATAGTTGCAACAAGGTAGACGGGGGTATGAGAACCTTAACCCAAACACTGATGATAAAATTATCATAAATTATACAGCAAATTAACAAAACATGTACGAATGTTAGGAAAAAAATGTCGACAAAAACTTAACAAAAAATAAAGTGCTTAATATTCTTAAACTATATATATAACAAATTGTTTGGTTTGTTGTTAGAAATGAATTATTTTGCATAACTAAAAACACAGATTGTGTTATTTCTCTTACAGGATACACCGAGGCATTTCAAGATGCTAACTATCCAGTAAAGAAAAAAACTTTTATTGTCTTCATGGACCCTCTAGACTTCAAGAAAAAAAGTTGTCCGGACGGCTTAGTCCATGATGTTGATTACTTTATTCTTACTGGTTTCGTGAACATCACCAACATTCCCTATCCGATCAGGTTTGGGAGAATCCTAGTTTGGTATATCGATTATGATGGCTGGATCTGGGTAAGTTTCTTTTTAAATTTCATAATTTCATTCTTGTGGCCCCCAAAAAATGAACATTTTCGGTTCACGTTTGGCAGACGAATGTCGGACCGATGTCGTCATTATAAAACGGTGATCAAAGAAACGTGTTACAGGAATATCGATGATATTTTACTTCGATTGGAACTCGTCGGAATCATCTTCCTTTATCTGTTGATACAAATTGAAGTCGTGAGAACATTGAAAAGTAGAAATAAAAAAAAAAAGCTTCATCATTTTTAAAGCATGGAAACGAAACAAATACAATTTCGTTTATTCTCCAGGTTTTTCCAAGCAATCAGGCATTGCGGGATGCACCTTGCAGAGATCAACCGCTAGTGGCTCCGAACAGATGCGTTTGTCTGTTTCATGATGATAAGGAAATCCGTGTGAAGTGCAACATCACAATAATTGTGGATTATTTTCGGACTATTTTCCGTTTAGGCTATATTCGTGATGATTTTTACTACAGTGACTATTCGGAACCACTTCCGTATGTCTACGGTAGGTAACCTTAGCATGATGTAAATATTTACGGCACTAAAATTTCTAAGCTTATGGGAGTCTAAAGTACAACATGACAGTTAATGATAGCACAATGATAGTCTGAGATTCGTAAAAGAAAACCAGTAGATTCATTCTTTAAGTAATTGTGTCAAACAGATTAAAAGAAAGATGCATATGATTGGTTTTTATGGGTTCAGTCGTTGACACCAAGTAGACCCTTCAATGCGGTGTTGCGACCACGGAACTAGCTTGTAAGTGGAAATCGTGAGACTAGCTGATGGTTAGGGAATCATTGGAGTAGCTGGTGGGTAGGAAATCAGAAGACAAGCTAGTGTGTGGGGAATCATGGGACTAGCTGGCGGTTAGAAAACCATGTGACTAGCTAATGGTTAGGGAATCATGGTGGGTGGGTGGGGGGGGGAATCAAGGGATTATCTGGTGAGTTTGAAATCATGGGACTAGCTAGCAGGTGGTAAATCATGGGACTATCTGGTGGTTAGGGAATCATGGGACTAGATGGTGGTTAGGAAAAAAATTGGACAATCTCTTGGTTAGGAAATCATTGGACTATCTGGTGAGTGGTTAATTATTGGATCAGGTGAGTCGTGGGGAATCATGGATTAGCTAGTATTTTGGGAATTATGTGACCATCTGGTGGTTCGGAAAACATGGGACTAACTAGTGGTTAGGGAAACATGGGTCAAGCTGTTGGTTTGGGGAGAATGGGACTATCTGGTGAGTAGGGAATCATGGGACTAGCTGGTATTTAGGGAATCATTGGACTAGCAAGTGGTTAGGGATTCATGGGGGCAAGCTGGTAGTTAAGGAATCATGGGACTAGCTGGTGCTTAAAGAATAATGGGCTATCTGGTGGGTTGGGAATCATGGAACTATCTGGTTAGGGGGAATCATGGGACTGTGGTGGTTATGGAATCACGGCACTAGATTATGATTGGGAAATGATGGGACTAGCTGGTATTTAGGGAATCATTGGACTAGCAAGTGGTTAGGGATTCATGGGGGCAAGCTGGTAGTTAAGGAATCATGGGACTATCTGGTGTGTGGGGAATCATAAAACTATCTGGTGAGGGGGAATCATGGGACTTGCTTGTGACTAGGGAAGCACAGGGCCAGCTGGTGTTGTGGGAATCATGCTACTAGATGATGGTTGGGAAATCATGGGACTAGCTTATTTTTTGGAATTCTGGGACCACATTGTGGTTGCTAAACAATGATGAGACTATATGGCGTGTTGGAAATAGTCGGACTTGCTAAAAGTTGAGGTATCATAGGAAAAGCTGGCAGGTGGTAAATGATGGGACTAGCTGGTGGTTGGGGAAACATGGGACTAGCTGATGGTTTGGAAATCATGGGTGAAGCTGGTGGTTGGGGAAAAATGGGACTAGCTGATGGGTGGGGAATCATGGGTCATGCTAGTGGTTGGGGAAACATGGGACTAAATGATGGGTGGGTAATCATGGGACTGTGGTGGTTATGGAATCACGGTACTAGATTATGGTTGGGAAATCATGGGACTAGCTTGTATTTGGGGAATCATGGGACTAGCTTGTATTTTAGGGAATCATGGGACCAGCTTGTGGTTTGGGATTTATGGGACTAGCTTGTATTTTGGGAATCATGGGACTAGCTGATTGGTATGGGAATCATGGGTCAAGCTGGTGGTTGGGGAAACATGGGACTAGCTGATAGTTTGGAAATCATGGGTGAAGCTGGTGGTTGGGGAAAAATGGGACTAGCTGATTGGTGGGGAATCATGGGTCATGCTAGTGGTTGGGGAAACATGGGACTAAATGATGGGTGGGTAATCATGGGACTGTGGTGGTTATGGAATCACGGTACTAGATTATGGTTGGGAAATCATGGGACTAGCTTGTATTTGGGGAATCATGGGACTAGCTTGTATTTTAGGGAATCATGGGACCAGCTTGTGGTTTGGGAATTATGGGACTAGCTTGTATTTTGGGAATCATGGGACTAGCTGATTGGTATGGGAATCATGGGTCAAGCTGGTGGTTGGGGAAACATGGGACTAGCTGATTGTTTGGAAATCATGGGTGAAGCTGGTGGTTGGGGAAACATTGGACTAGCTGGTTGGTGAAGGAGCATGGACTATCTGGTGGGTGGGGAATTATGGGACTCTGGTGGTTATGGAATCACGGCACTAGATGATGGTTGGCGCTTGTATTTGGGGAATCGTGGAACTAGCTTATATTTGGGGAATCATGGGACTAGCTTGTATTTTGGGAATCATGGGACTAGCTTGTGGTTGGGGAATTATTTGACTAGCTAGTGATTAAAGAATGCTGGGTCAAGCTGATGGTTGGGAAATCATGGGACTAGAAGGTGGTTAGTAAATGTTGGGACTAGCTTGTGGGTAGGGAATCATGGGACTATCTGGTGGGTCGGGAATGATGGGACCAGCTGGTGGTTGGGGAATCATGGGACTATCTGGTGGGTGGGGAATCATGGGTCAATGCTGGTTGCTTTTTTCCTCTATTACATTCACGATTTCAAGAAAAGTGAATAAAAAAATAATTTAACTGTTAGACATTGACTTATGTCAATGTCGGGGAAGAGGAAATTCCATGAAAGAAGTAACTAAACGAATGGGGATCAAGTGAGGTAACCTCCACATTGAAGTGATCAACATTCGCAATGCCAATGTGTCCATTTAGAAAACGAAGAGTCGACACAAAGGCAGTCTTTGGCCTCCGGCAAATATTTGAAAAAAAAAAACTTGTAGGTATGGAAAGCGTCATCTGGTTTTCATCGACGAGGAAAAAGCCTTCAGCATAACAGAAAGAATTAAGACGCCGGATAAATTGGCTAGTTATTATTACCAACATAAAAAAAAAAAAAGAAATCGTCATAGAAACAAAAAAAGTACAGTTCATTGACAAAAAAAGTGCATCGACATGGGCAGTTCATTGACATAATAGGACATCGACCGTTCATTGACAAAAAGAAAAGTACATATTCATGGACTGTTCATTAACAAAATTAACATTTTTAAATCCATTATTTATCTGAATCATTTTTATTTGGCCCTGCGTTTTTTTTTTTTTTTTTTTTGTTCCAAATTTGGTTTTAATTTTGGCAGGTTTGGCCGTGAGCCATACGTTAACTATAAAAAAAAGTTTGATCTTTCTTTTATTAACATTTTTAAATCCATTATTTATCTGAATCATTTTTATTTGGCCCTGCGTTTTTTTTTTTTTTTTTCTGAGTTCCAAATTTGGTCTGAAGTTTGACAGGTTTGGCCGTGAGACATACGATAACTATAAAAAAAAGTTTGATCTTTCTTTATGCGCTAGTGTAACTAGTGTAACTATCATTATAATTTCTTGTTACCGTAACCTACAATAATTTTCTAAAGCTCTTTCTAAATTATAAATGATGATCAGGTTTTGCTTTTAGATCAAAAGTTTAAATAGTTTTTGTCAAAAATATTCATCAAAATACTGAAAATGAATTAGCACAATGTGATCAGAATATATCTCAGTGTATTGGGATCAACGAAAGAATCGCAGCTTAGCATTATTGTTAAATATTTTGCATATTCTATTTTATACTCTTTTTAAGGTAATACATCTTGCATGAAGTGGGTCATATATTCAAAAAATCAAGGTAAGCATAACATGTGATGTTTAGAATCAAGATTAGTGTTAGAGTTAGAGCAGTGGTTACCATGGTTACCAGTTTCTGCACGTTTGATGCAAAGTTGGTGATTTTTTTCTCCAAAATTATAATTTATTTTGTTTAATTTAAATTGATCATATGTCATTAGGACCTGATAAAACCAGCAACCATATTATGTAAATAGGGTTCTAAATAGTAAATATTGTGTACTTAGGGGTCTTCTTGGTAAATAATGTGGACAAAGACCCCTCCATTGTAAATATCGTGTATTAGAGCGGGGAACCCCAATCTTATTCATAGAGGATTCTGGAGGTGTGGCGCCAGCACTAGTTACTCAGATGGGTTATTGACCTTAATTTACTCATGTTTAATGCCTTTCGAAGAGACCCCTATGAACTACAAACATTTATCTAAACATTTTTTTCATACCTATATTAAGGATTAAAAATAGTTTCTCATGTTAAAATGAAAAGCAGTACTTTTTTTTTTTAATGTTTTTTTTTCTTTTCTTTTCTTTAGGGTGTAGTCTTGTTGGAGGTAACTCTGCTGTGTCTGGTAAGTAAATTATATATGAATTATCTAGTCTTGTTGGGTGTAACTCTGCTATGCCTGGTAAGTAAATTATACAAGAACTATCAAGTCTTGTTTGAGTCAACTCTGCTATGTCCGGTAAATTATACATGAATTATCTAATTTTGTTTGAGACAATTCTGCTTTGTCTGATAAGTAAGTTATTCATGAATCATCTTATCGTGTTGAAGAAAACTCCCCTATATCTGGTAATTACCTAGTAGAATGAAAAAGGGAAAAGGGGGGGGGGAGGCGATTTCCCTTTGTGTCCCTTTGGGGGAGGGAGTAGAGAATCGGGAAATTTTCAGATGAAAAATATTATGTATATTAATTTACTTGTGGAAAAGAGGAAGAAAAACAATATCTTACAACTATTTCTATATAATCATTATTACTCTTTACAACTATATCTATATAATCATTATTAATCTTTACAACTAAAATTCGCCCTCTCACATATCTGAAGCTCGTGTCATAAGATGAGCTACGAGCTGAAATAGCTCTCATAGGTCTCTGTGTCAACCCTTACAATGATGGTAAGCTTAATAATTTGTGTCCCTGCTTTTTTGTATTTGTTGCTTGCTTAGACACTTATATAATTTTTCAAAGAGTTTCTTCTTCCACAGGAATGGTCATCATCTTCACAGCTTTGGTCTTCACGGCCTCATCACTGTTTTCATATGGCCAATGATCTCACCAACATCGGCTCTGAGCTCCAAGCCTTGAGACTAAACGCTGAACATATCAGCAACAATAAATGTACTTTATGATATGTGAAAAATGTTCATCATCTTTGGTACATAAGCAACAAAAAAAAATATTAAAAAAAAATTGTAAGTACTAGATTTTAAAAATGCCTTATATTCTGGTCACAAATGAATGGCATAATATTTGTCACAAGTCAGAAAATAAATTAATTGAATAAAACTGTTCACATTGAAAATAAAAAGTACTTTAACATAGATGACCTCAATTGGTCCCAATCGCCTAAAACCAGAACATTTTGACATTTTTAGTTAAGTGCATATTTTCAAACTTCTTACTTTGATTACTTTATTAACATTTTAAATGCATATAAAAAACAAAAAATTTGTAGCCATTTTTATTTTCCCTTCCATCATTAAATTCTCCTTATCAATTGTTTATACTTGGTTATAACGATGCTAAGTTTAGCGTCGGTGGTGGGGGTGGTCGTTTCGTTCTTTCTTCAGTTTAAGGATCCCAGGTTCAACCTTAAAAAGAATCAGAAGGAAGCAGTTTACAGTGTTAATCACAACAGTAAGAAAAACATGGCCAAAACACTTTCTTATTAAATAAGCTTTGTTCTATACGTTTATATTAAAAACATTTGATGCATAACTAATAACATTGAAAAGAGTTGATGTATTAGAATAGCTATATATAACATTAAAATGAGTTGAAGTTATAATAGAGAAATGAATAAAATAAGTTTAAGACGCATTTGAATGTGTTAATTTTTTTAAATTTCATTTTCAGTTCTAATTAAGAATTTTTTTTAAGGAAAAGGATAATATGAAAAAAATGTGGGTTTTACATTAAGTAGACATCCCCCCACCACCACCCCCCTAATTTTTTTTTTTTTTTACTTGAAAAACACTAATGATATTATAAATTGTATCCGAATTTTAATTTAAAAAAAATGTTCTACGCCAATTTTTACTTTTTAAGGAAAAGGAAAATATGAAAAAAATGTGGGTTTTACATTAAGTAGACATCACCCCAACAACACCCACCTAATTTTTTTTTTTTTTTACTTGAAAAGCACTAATGATATTATAAATGGTATCCGAATTTTAGTTTAAAAACAATGTTCTACGCCAATTTTTACTAAATCATGTTGTCCGAAATTAAAGTTGTTTGAATTGAAATTTTTTCGAACAAAGATTTGATTTAAGTTAAAGTTTAAGTATTCTTACTTAGTTTTAGCTTTCGCAGCATTGGAGAATGGGCCAAGACCATATTAACAGCATGTGGGCCCTGGCACGTCATTAGGTATAGGCCAAAGCCATCTTAACAGCATCGGGGCAGGCCCTCAGGCACCACACTGGGGTATAGGCCTAGGACATATTAACAGTATGGGGGCCTTGCTATGCACTGAGACTGGGCTGTCTTAACAGCATATGGGGTTTTGGGCAAATAGATTCACTGAGGCAGGGCTCTCTTTACAGCATCTGAGGCCCTGGGCAAAGAGATAAACTGAGACCAGTATCTTTTCTTACATATTCAAATAATGCTAATATAAGAAAACCCTTTGGGCCAAGGTCTGCCCTGGCAAGTAATTTAGTAGGGGGGGGGGGGGGGGGTCCCAGTCAATTTGATTTGGGAGGTAGGTGGATGTTTAGGCGCTTGTGAAAGAAGATGGCTGTGGATCTATCAGCTCGAAAATTAGGTGTAATCTCGCACAGGGTTTCGCTGATTATGGCGCCCCGTGTATACATTAAAAAATGTAATCCAGTTGTGGTGACCCCTGAGGGTATCCTTAGTTTCACACCTGGAATCCATATAATCCAACTATATGCATATACCAACCAAGAGGAAAATCATATTTTTTTAAAGTTCAGTGAAAACATTTTTAACAGCTAACAACAAGAAACCAATGTTTTGTTTTTTTTAAATTAAAACTTATAGAAAAGAGTGTCGGTACTGTCCCTTTGATAGGGGAGGGAGCAGAGTTCCTAGGTAAAGTACATCCCGAACGATACTACTTGTGATGTTTGGGGGGGGGGTGGAGTGGCTTAGTGACCCCATCCAAGATGTAAAAAAGAGGAAGAAAAAAGAATATTAAATCTATTTTGCTGTCAATTTGCTTTTCGGATATATTACTTTTTACACACAATTGCTAAAGACACTAAAGTGTAAAGAATCTTTTAAAATAAATTGTTCATCCCATAAAATATTAAATAGTTGCTAAAACTAAAAATGCTCTATTTGAAAACATGGAAACGCTATTGATAACAATTTTAGCCAAATGCAAAAGTTTTGGCTGAAAGAAAGGTATAAAATAGTTAGGACAATTTGATTAACATGGTAAGAAGAGCTCTGCGTTTGAGTTGTTTCCCTTGTTACGAAGACCACTCTTTTTAACTTTAACTACTAGAGTTATTTGACCAACTTTAGACGCTTGACATATATATATATATATATATATATATATTTAAAAATGTAAATTTTTAAAAAGATAAAGGTTCTTTTGTCAAAAATATATTTAGAAAACGTTGGTGTCGGAAGGGTAAATTTAACAAAACCCTTTAAAATGTATTATGCATAAATCCTTTTGAAGCGTTGATATTGAGCAAAGGGGTGGGGCTAAAAATTTGACAACTCACGCATTCAAGTACAGTAGCGCACTTTATAAGAATCCAAATTTTCCTCTCAAGGCCGCCCCCCCCCCCGCCACTCCAACAGCTCGCAAACCCAAATTTTTTTTACGCCCCTGCACTATATTAATATTCTAATGACCCACTAAAGGGGTGGGGCAAAAAATTTGCCAACTCACCCATTCAAGTAAAGTAGCGCACTTTATAAAAACCCAAATTTTCCTCCCAAGGCCCCCCCCCCCCCCCGCCACTCCAACAGCTCGCAAACGCAAATTTTTTTTACGCCCCTGAACTATATTAATATTCTAATGACCCACCCGCTTTTACACAGAAGATTAATTTCACTTCAGAAAAAAAATATCTATATCTATATTACGCACCAAACGAACTTAAAGTTTAAAAAATAACTTTTAATAGAAAGAATCTCATTGAACGCAGTTACAGGGGCTTCCATTGTATCTTCTCCTTGGAAAAACAGGAACAACTTTTTTTTTTTGGCGGGTTGGAGACGAAAATTTGATAGAATGTGTTGTCATCGACAATGAGTCTTTATACAAAATTTTAGCTCGACAGCTTAACGGAAAGAGGGCCCATAAGCCATCAGAGGATTTCAGCCAGCCACAAACATCAGCGAAGCATATATAAAGGATTGTAAAAAAGCGTTATTTGATTACTTCTTCCTCAAAAATTTTGTTTTTTAATTTTGCATTTCAGGATTCGCATTCGATGATAGACAAAGTTTTTTTCATTCTTGTCCGTGAATTCAGAAATTCTGTAATTTGTTTTGTGGCATTCTATTGTTATCTTTATCTCATATCATCGCCAATACAGCAATTCTATTTTTAAAAACTCAAATCATTTCGTGCCACAAGGTTTCAAAAATGTCACGGTTCCATGAACACTGATTTAATAAACATGTATCCGATGAAATTTGTTCTGCCTTACACTTTATGGTGCGACATTTTACCTCACTTCCAAGACTGTCACAGACACAAAATTTTACCTCACTTCCAAGACTGTGACAGACACAACATTTTACCTCACTTCCAAGACAGTGACAGAAACAACATTTTACCCCACTTCCAAGACTGTCAAAGACACAAAATTTTACCTCACTTCCAAGACTGTCACAGACACAACATTTTACCCCACTTCCAAGAATGTGACAGACACAACATTTTACCCCACTTCCAAAACTGTCACAGACACAACATTTTACCCCATTTCCAAAACTGTCACAGACACAACATTTTACCCCACTTCCAAGAATGTGACAGACACAACATTTTACCCCACTTCCAAAACTGTCACAGACACAACATTTTATCCCACTTCCAAAACTGTCACAGACACAACATTTTACCCCACTTCCAAGAATGTGACAGACACAACATTTTACCCCACTTCCAAAACTGTCACAGACACAACATTTTACCCCACTTCCAAGAATGTGACAGACACAACATTTTACCCTACTTCCAAGAATGTGACAGACACAACATTTTACCCCACTTCCAAAACTGTCACAGACACAACATTTTACCCCACTTCCAAAACTGTCACAGACACAACATTTTACCCCACTTCCAATACTGTGACGGGCACAAAATCTTACCAAGAAGTAATCTTACGGCCTCGAGGTTGGTCATACTTGAGGAACTTAATCTAAAACAACAGTTTATGCGTACTAAAGGCTTTACTCTTGACAAAATAATGACCAACCTAGAGGCCGTAAGATTGATTCTGCACAAGAAGCGCTGTCACTTGGATACAAAAGTGTCGCGACCCACAGGTTGAGAACCGGTGCCTTGTGGCATACCGCTAAACCCAACTCATATTCGTGCAAAGCCAGCGGGACGGTGTCCCTTGAAAATGACAAATACACAAGCAACAAGGGCTTGCTGGGATTAAAGACGTCTACTAGCCCAAGTTTTAACGCACTGCTCAACGGCCCAATGCTCAGGCTTTCAGTAAATGTAGGAATAGGCAAACCATATAAGAAGTTATGAGTTGTTCATAAAGTAGGGTGTGTTAATCGAGTGACTTATTTATTATTTTATTCAAAGAAAATTATACAATTTCAAAAACAATAATGAGAAATTTTATTCAATTTATATTGTGCAGCTGGAGCATTGTGCACATTTACTTGTGATTCCGTCTTGGCTGGCATCAAAAACTATTACTTATCTTGCGAGGTAGACGATTTTAAAAAGTGCGATATTTCTTTAAGACTTACTTTTTGTAGTCAAACACTTCGTGCTTTTCACTGAAAGACGATAGGCGGAAAAGATTTGACAGATAAATTTTAAATAGTCTACCATCAACACATGAGCGGTCTCTTTTACTAACGTACACAGAAAAACGAACAAGCAATGTACAAAAATGTAGTCATTCTCGTCTTGCTCATCTCGACTGTGCCGATGGCACATAATTGGTCCTATACATGTAACTATTGCAATAATTGGTGTATTCAAAGCAAGGCTCAAAGTAAGTAAATGATATATATATATATATATATGATTATTGTCAGTATAGCTGACTATTGTAGCATAGTTTCTAGCTGCTATCATCTTCCCAGGGAGTATTAAGGTGTTGCTTTATCAATGGATATAGCAGCTGATTTATCATTTTCATCTTGGGAAACTGATATCCCAGACAAGTCAAAGTCATCCTCATCTAACAATTCAGCACAAACAATAGAAGCATTGTCAGTGAATGTCAGCGTGAGCAATAATTGCCATAAGCTCCCTTTCTCTTGGCAGCTACTTGCATTAGTCGAATCCTTTCTTATTGAGGAGCTCGTGGTATTTTCTTATGCAGCTAGAAAAATATATATACCAGTCACAAACAGCTAAAAAGATATCTATACCAGTCATAAACAGCTAGAGAGATATCTATACCAGTCATGAACAGATAGAGTGATATCTATGTCAGTCATGAACAGCTAGAGAAATATAAATGTTAGTCATGAACAGCTATAGAGATATCCATGTCAGTCATGAACAGCTACTGGGATATCTATGTCAGTCATGAACAACTAGATGGATATATATTGATTGATTGAATACTTCTATAGCGCTAAGTATCCATGCTATTTTAGCATGCTCAGTGCGCTCTCAGTGATGGCATCCAGGGTGTCACAGAGGTTGTCGGAATGGTTCATTTTTTCGATGTTTGCCGCCTGTACGGGACGCCATCTCCGGGTTTGAATTTAGAGTTTCCTTCTTTTAGATGAGTTGCCGACCAAAGTTAACGAGTCCCATCTGCTGAGTTTTCTTTTGCTTGACTGGGCTTTGACTGGAATTGTCAGGCATGAACAGTTTGAGGGATATCTATAACTTTAACGAAAAACCAGCAGCAGTGAATACTCAACTTTGATTTCTCACTGTTGTTTTTGGCGGCAACATATCTGCATTTTGTGAGCTTAGCCTAGATATTATATTCCTTGTTTTTAGCCTAGATATTACATGACTTTTTTATGCCTAGATATTACATGCCTTGTTGTATGCCTGGAAATACATAGCTTTTTGAATGTCTGGACAATAATTGCCTTGTTGCATGCCTGGACAATACGTGCCGTGTTGCATGCCTGGACATTACGTGCCTTGTTGCATGCCTGGGCATTATATGGCTTGCTGCAGACCTGGACATTTTTCTGCCATACATACATTGAAAGCGCCGTCATTTAATTGTTACGTAATGACTAAACAATCTGGACAACTTTTTCTCTTGACGTCTATAGGGTCGAAGAACGTAACAATAGGCGTTTTCGGTTTTACAAGTTGAAATGCCCCCGCCAATCCTGTAAAAGAATAAGGTGTTGCTTAAAAAAAAATGGAAACAAAAAGCAATTTCATTGTCATTTAGTTTGAAATTTTTAAGCGTTTTTCTATTTTTAACTCTTTCGAATTTTCCTAAGATTTAGCTTAAGTCTGTTTATTTGGAGGATTATTTATCTTCTGTTTTTGGTTACAACTTCTTTGTCACAATAGCTCACTGCAACAATAAGCATTAGCTTAACAACACGTTGCTAGTGGAAGAGCCTCTATGTCACAATGGCTCACTGCAACGATGCAAGATCACTAAGAACATCACCTCTTGGGAGTATCAAGGGAAATGACCGCGTACAAGTGCGCTACCGATTTCCATTTCTGTACATCGTAGAGTTTACTACCCACTCACATCTGGCCCTAAGAACCTATCCATAGTAAAGTTTACCCCCTCACACCTGGCCCCAGGAACATGTCCATAGTAGAACTTACCCACTCACACCTGGTCCTAGGAACCCGTCCATAGTAGAGTTTACCCACTTACATCTGGCCCTAGAAACTGTGAGAAGGGAATCAATTAAAAGCAAAAATGGTAATGCCAGAGTGGTCATATTACAAGACGTAAATTTACTTGCTCGTAGAGTGGTCCTTAATAGGGGAAAAGATATTTGGAGACAGATTGATCCTTTAGAGTGAACATAATACAAAACGAAAAGTCACTTCGAGGCATAATGATCATTCAGAATGGAATTAAAACACAAAACCGTAAGTAAATAAAGATTTGGTTAAATTTGCATCTACCTAATAAGGTCATCAAAGTATGGCTTATTGATACTCAATGTATTTCTGCTCTAGAGTTCCCTCAAAAAGTTAAAGAATATGAAAAGACAAATTCTACGCTCTACTAAATAGCCACAAAGAGTTTCGAGGCTTACCTGTTGTATCACTGAGAAAAGCTTGTGGATTTCTTTTGTGTTCGCGAATCTCTGTCGTTGGAGTCACAGCGTGCAATAGTGACGTGTATTTTTTTTAACATTGAGGAATAAATGAACCTTCAAATGGTTTCATCCAAAACAAAATTATTCTAATGGCTATTAATTCGTCAAGTTTAAAAAAAACAAAACTATTTGTTAAAGTGCAAAACAATCATTATCACGGTACTCTTCTGGGGTTTGATGTAAGAAATGCGTCAATGGTGAATCGGTTTAAACAATACCAGGAACAAGCCTGATTTTGAGTTTCGTTACAGAAATGTCCCAACCAATTTAAGCTAACGTGATAAAATTTAAAATTAACTATAAACTTGTTTGCTGACGTCAAATATAACAATGAGACCAAAGATAAGTTCAGTTAGTTTCTGCATTGTTGGAAGCAAAAGATTAGCTCGCTGGAACCACAATCTCTAAGACTCAGGATCTTGTCTTTGGAACCAAAAATCTTTTAGGCTTAGGATCTTGTCACTGGAACCAAAAATCTTTTAGACTCAGGATCTTGTCACTGGAACCAAAAACCTCTTAGACGCAGGATCTTGTCACTGGAACCGAACAGTCTTAGAGAACTTTCTTACAGACTGAAAAATAATATTGTAGTAAAAAATAATGAACTACTAGGGTTTACTGAAGAATTTTTTTTTACAATGGGTCCGGGTATTGTTTACATAAACATAGTGGATCTAAGTGTTTAAAAATGTTAATTTCTCATTTGACATAAGCTGCCCTTTAAACAACATTCCTACAGCCAGTCCTACGCCCTGCCCGTCGGCCTTTAAGCAATATATCGACAGACAATCCTACACCCTACCGACCGACATTTAAAGAATAGTCCTACAGATAGTCCTAAACACTACCTCTCGGCCTTTACAGAATAGTCATATAAACAGTCCTACACTATATACTTGCCGGCATTTAAACACTAGTCCTACATAAAGTCCTAAAGACTTTCCTACAAACATTCGTGCTGACAGTCCGACAGACAGTCTTACAGATTGTCCTATACCAGGGGTTCTCAACCTTTCTAATGCCACGACCCTTTCATACAGTTCGTCATGTTGCGGCGACCCCCAACCACAAAATTTCGTTAATACTTTATAACTAGAGATTATATAATATGTGTTTTCAGATGGTCTTAGGTGACACCTGGGAAATGATCGTGCGACCCCCAAAGGGGTCTTTATTGATCAATATAGTTGTTGCCTGCGAAAAAAATAACCTTCTTACCCGAGTTCAACACTCACCGCATTACTCTCCTTGTTTGACAGATTTTTTTTCACTCTGTACTATTTATTTTTTTAAAAAAACTTGTTGAGCAGGGGTGGGGGCGGTTGTGAAAAGGACGCAGCCACACCAGAATCAAAATATTATATATGAGATAATTCATTTGAATCAAATTCAATGTCATGAGCTTCTCACTTATAAAAATGTGTAGATTCTGTTGTTAAACTAACTCATTAAATGTATGAATTTACTTGGTTTAAACAAAACTACGCTTTATATCTTATTTACGCGCATGGGAACTAGGGTGACCAGCATCATTGGTAAGGTTTAGTTTAGGGTTATGTGGTGTCTTTTTCCTCTTGTCAAGACGTTCACATGAAACAAACCGACATACGGGGCTCTGCAGATGACTCGATTTTATCTGTGCCTGTTTTTTCAGCTTTCGTGATAGTTTAAAGGTTTTTACAACGTTTTCTTTGGAATCAAGGTTTCTTGAATGTGTTTTATCTCCTTTGTCTGATAATCTTGTGTTTTTTACCGCGATGAACAGCGATGACATGGATTTGTTGGACATCGTTGCAATAAACCAAGGCAAATCCACAGCCGCCATATTGGAAACACTTGAGACGCCATCTTGAAAACAAATGGCAAGATCAAAACAACTATTTAAAGACAATCGAATACAGACAAAAGGCGTCGCCCGTAATCTTGGAGAAGGAAAACCTCCGTTCAAACAAAAATCCAAGACTGTTCTCACTTAAGAACTCAAGAGATATTCATACCGCAAACTTACACGGCGAATGTCTTGCTACAGGAACAAAGGAAAACACACAAAAAACATTTCAAAAGTTCAAGGAAATATGTACGATGAATGTAAAAAAAAAATATCAATTTATTTGGATTCAAAAAAAATATCTTATATTATCTTATCTTATTAAACTAATTTTTAGTTATAAATAGAAATATAATAGTCGCATATAATTTGACATATGATTCATAATTGTCACCATTTCTTCTAAGAGACAAACTAATGATCAAATATGCTGTTGTTTGTTACTATTTGTAACAGATGGAAAAATCTCCTGATTGTTCTATTGATAACTTAAGTCAGCAGGCGGCCATGCAGTCATGGAATTCATATAAATGTGACCGTTACTGTTACTCGATAACCTATTTATCACAATATATCAAGGGTTTCAAACTCAAATCGTCCAGGGGCCGCAGTTGGTAGAATCTCATTGAGAATGGGCCGCATCAAGTATTCCACAAAAAAGCGATTCATTAACATTCATTAAAGTACAACTGTTATAATCTGCTCAACTTTTAAATCTAACACAAAAATGTTAAAGGTTCTCAAGAACTAGGCTCCACTTTCCTCCTCCTACTCATTGTTGCCAGAGACTTGGCAGCGCTTCTTCTTACACAGCTGAGCAACATTTGGCTTGCGTGAGGAAGCAACTGAGACCTTCAGGTATAGCTTTAAGATGCTCATCGGTAAGTTTAGGCCTGAATTCATATTGGAAAATAGTTTTTCACACAGATTGGTATTCACAGAAAAACATATGATCCGCTTGAACAACCTGGCATTGGGAGAGTTCACCTCACGTTTGCCCGATATACCTTCTGATAAGTGACAAGACTCTGATACATTATATATGGATACATCAGTAGAAACCGAAAAAAAATGTACAGGAAACTACACATCAAATCTGCTTAATTCTAATGCGCACCATAATTTGTGCATTTTAGTGCGCCGATTGATTTGTTAGAAATATACTTTTTTTTTTGTTAAATGTGTACGCGTTCTTTAAACAAAATAAAATATGAGACACTTATTTGCGCTTCAAATATTTAATCATCTTTGTATTTAAATTAATAGAGTTAAGCCTACAAATAAAGAAAAGACGATAACAGTCAGTAAAAATTAAACATTTAACTTCTCACTTTAAAAAAAAGAAATAATAATAATAATTCAATAGGAATTTTTTTTTTAAAGAACATGTAAATTAATTTAAAATATGATTTTTTTTAAAATCCTGGCCGTGTCATCAAGGACATGCAACTGCTTGGATACTATTCAGGTTTCAAATTTAAAGTTGTGAGTTTTTAAAATATAAAGTCGGGTATCAAACGTCCTTACTACAGTAAGTATTTTAAAATGCATTGCAATTTTCAACTTTAAGAACCAAGAAGTTTAAGTTGTTTAAGATAAAACAGCATTGAAAGTTGATATGTGTAAATATCTACTGCTGGCGTCGGTGATGACATTCATCTTAACACAGGCCTCCACAACATACGCCAGCCAGCTCCCACTTTGCGGCCCGCGGAGTAACCATTTATTCTTTTTCTTTATAAGGCGTAGAGGCTAATTCTTATATTACTACCCATGACGTCATTTGCATATTTATTTAAAATTTGTGCAAGGAGAGGCAGGAGTCATTCCCCTTTGTTGATATTGTTGTTAATTTTATTGGATGAAGTGTCGGAAGTGGTGGCGGCGAAGGAATATTTTAATAACCGGTTTGAACAAGATTTCGTGTGAATAATTAACGAAGATTTAAAGAAAAGTTAAATTTTGTGGTTTTAAAACTGAAATTTTATGTTTTTGGAATTCATGCAGAGAGTGTGGAATTGTCAGAATGTTAGAAATATTGATGAAAAATAGAGAAATTAATTTTCGTATATGGTACTTGAAAATCATGCGGATCTAGAAAGGTGTGATTAAATATTACGTCACTGTCGTCTTATTGTGCTCCGGTGTCCGGCGGTAAGTTCAAAATATCCAAAATTGTCATGGGGAGGAGCAGTTCGACTCATATCTATATGAATATATGTGGCGACGCTCGTGTGGCACTAAAGATCAAATGAGGGAATTTTTAAATGTCATAAAAATTGTGTATCCGCCCCATTTACGAGATCTTGCTTCGTAAAGAGTGAGTAAAATAACGAATTATCATTTGAAAATTTCATTGTTTTTTGTTGCTTTTTAAAATCGTCCATTACCATGCATTTCTGAATTTTAGGGTTAAGGTTAGGGTTTAGGGTTTATTGTTAGGTTTAGGGTTAGGGTTAGGTTTAGGGTTAGGTTTAGGGTTTGGGTTAGGTTTAGGGTTAGGTTTAGGGTCTGGTTTAGGTTAGGTTTAGGGTTAGGTTTAGGGTCAGGGTTAGGGTTAGGTTTAGGGTTAGGTTTAGGTTTAGGGTCAGGGTTAGGTTTAGGGTTAGGTTTAGGGTTAGGGTTAGGTTTAGGGTTTAGGGTCAGGGTTTGGTTTAGGGTTGGGTTTAGGGTCAGGGTTAGGTTTAGGGTTAGGGTTAGGTTTAGGGTTAGGTTTAGGGTTAGGGTTAGGGTTAGGGTTAGGTTTAGGGTTAGGTTTAGGGTTTAGGGTCAGGGTTAGGTTTAGGGTTAGGTTTAGGGTCAGGGTTAGGTTTAGGGTTAGGTTTAGGGTTAGGGTTAGGTTTAGGGTTGGGTCAGGGTTAGGTTTAGGGTCAGGGTTAGGTTTAGGGTTAGGTTTAGGGTTAGGTTTAGGGTCAGGGTTAGGGTCAGGTTTAGGGTTAGGTTTAGGGTCAGGTTTAGGGTCAGGGTTAGGTTTAGGGTTAGGTTTAGGGTTAGGGTTAGGTTTAGGGATAGGGTTAGGTTTAGGGTTTTGGATCCAGGTTAGGGATTTGCGCCATCAAATTTTTGCTCATTTTTCAAAAATTTCAAAAAAAAAATTCAAATTTTACTCGTTTTTTACAAATTTTTTAAAAAATCATTTTTCTTAAATTTCAAAATTTAATAGTTTTTTACAAATTTTTTAAAATTACAAAACCAAATTTTTCTTTGATTTTTTATTTTTTTCCGAAAAATTTTTTTTCTTCCATTTCTTTACATTTTACATTTTCTTTAAAATATTTTTCACAGATTACTATATATTTGTGTGTTTTCCTATCTTGAAAATTAAATTTTCTTGTAATATTGCTTATTTTCGATCTTTCAGTAAGTTTTTTGATAAAACGCATTCTCCCCAACCGTTCCCTTTTTGTACAATACGTGTCTTTGCACTACTTTTTTTTTTGGGTCGGCCGCCATCTTGGTTGACATGATCCGTGACCTTCTCACGGATCATGTCAACAAAGATGGCGGCCATGCTTGGGAAACCCCGGGTACCACTCTCATAATTTACCGGCGTAGATTTAATAAAAGCGATAGACCTAGATTTAAAACAGCGATAGGCCTAGATTCAATGCAGCGATAGACCTAGATTCAATACAGCGATAGGCCTACATTCAATGCAGCGATAGACCTAGATTCAATACAGCGATAGGCCTAGATTCAATACAGCGATTGGCCTAGATTCAATGAAGTGATAGACCTAGATTCAATGAAGCGATAGACCTAGATTCAATACAGCGATAGGCCTAGATTCAATACAGCGATAGGCCTAGATTCAATACAGCGATAGGCCTAGATTCAACACAGCGATAGGCCTAGATTCAAAACAGCGATTGGTCTAAATTCAATACACTGATAGGGCTTGATGCAACAAAAGATAGGTCTAAATTCAGTGCATCGATGTATTTTTTTAAATCTAATTTTGTTGACAAGAGAAAAAAAAAGTTTTTTAACCAAAGAAGCATTGACCGAATCTGAACAAATAAAATAATCACCATGGATCCAATACTTTTAACGAGATAGAAAGCGTAGTAATAGAAAAAATGTAGTGAAACATTTGTTTATTGGCTTGCATTCCAGAAAAGATAGATTCTTTATTATAAGAGAAAAGATTATACTTTTGAATTTAAACAAGGGAAATAAATTATAGCATTTTTTTTTCTCTGATCGCTTTCTTTTTTCAGTCTTCAAAAAGTTTCTCATTCTAAGACAGTTCGGTTCCTGTCAGCTCATCTTCTGCCTCCAACTATGCAGAAATTAACTGAAATTCTCGCCTGCCTCGTTTTAATAGTTGTCCTCGGAAAACATGGTAAGTGTTTATTTAAAAAACTGCCATCACATCAGCTTAAATTTTGCAAAGTTACGTCCCAAAAAGAACCCAGGTAAATTTTTAACCGAGTCGGGATCAACGCATTCCTTATATCATACGCTGGCAGAGCACCATGATAATACGAGTGTTTATATTTATACCTTATATCATACGCTGGCAGAGCACCATGATAATACGAGTGTTGATATTTATTTCTTATACCATACACTTTACTGAGTACCGCGATTGTAAGTGTTTTGCATGTGTACAGAAAGTAAACAAAATTAAAGACTTCATGTTACCTTAAGACGATCAATATAACGTAATTTCACTTTTGAAGTGAGACAATTTTGATTTTTTTTTTAAATATTTTTTTGCCATTTTTTCAGATACATGAATGGTTAGGAAAAGTACATTAAAAAAGAATGAAATAGCTGCAGGAAGTTTTATGATTGTGCTATATTTTATATACGCTTCGTTATACTTATTGTAAATTTAAAGCCTCTCCCTAGTGATGGGATTACACTAGGCAGTAACAGAAACAACATTCTGGGTTACTTAAGTTTTAGATCTGTTCCTAGCGTTATTTAGGGTACTGGTTCTTAGCGTTATTTAGGGTACTGGTTCCTAGCGTAATTTAGGGTACTGGTTCCTAGCGTTATTTAGGGTACTGGTTCCTAGCGTTATTTAGGGTACTGGTTCCTTGCGTTTTTTAGGGTACTGGTTCCTAGCGTTATTTAGGGTACTGGCTCCTATAGTTATTTAGTGTATTGACTCCTAGTGTTATTTAGGTTACTGTTTCCCAGCGTTATTTAGTGTACTGATTCCTAGCATTATTTAGGGCACGCCAGCACACCATACGGCCCCTGGGCGCATGTGATCCGAAAACACCAACTTTGCGGCGCGTGAAGTAACGAAATATTCTTCATTCTTATTATTTTCTTCATAGCTTCCCTCCCCCTATCCTATTTCTTTTGGCCCGCACAAGTCCTCTCTTATTTTATTTTGGCCCGCACAAGTCCTCTCCTATTTTATTTTGGCCCCCACAAGTCCTCTCCTATTTTCTTTTGCCCGCACAATTATTTTTATAAAGTATTGCACGCCGCCTGATATTTTGAGTTCTGCAGGCCTGATTTAGGGACCTGGTTCCTAGAGTTGTTTAGGGTGTTAATTTCTAGTGTTTTTTAGGGTACCGTGCCTAGGGTTATTTAGGTACTGGTTCCAAGTTTAATTTAGGGTACAGATTCCTAGTGTTATTTCGGGTACTGGTGTCTAGTGTTTTTAGGGTACTGATTCATAGTGTTATTTAAGGTACTGGTTCCTATTGTTATTTAGGGTACTGGTTCCTAGTGTTAATTAGGGTACTGATTCCTAGTGTTATTTTGGGTGTTGGTACTGAAGTTTCCATCGGGTTTATCGTGGCAGCTCTAATTTTTAAGATATTGCTGAATCAGGATATTCATTGAAAAAATTATTATTTAAATGGGAAATAATGTATTTAAATAAGCACCATTTTTGCATGTGTATAGTATAAAGTAACAAGACTACTTCCATTTTATTGATACGTCAATGGAGAGAGCTGAAGTTTTTTTTTCCGTTTTATTAACATATTAAGTTAAAAAATATTTAGATGTCAAATCATGTTCTTATTAGAGTAATTTTGTTTTTTTAATTTCTAAAGCTGCCCAGCCGGATCTGTTTAAACTGATGCATACAGATTGTTTTTTCATATGGATAAAGTGTATTCCTTGTTTGAAAATAACGTATACAGGTCATTTGGTGCAAAGCATGGATCTAAAGATAAGCCATGGTCTCTGCATGCTGTATGCAAAACCTGTGCAGAATATTTGCTTGCCTCAAGATTTAAGGAAGTGCACAAGCTTCATCATGGAACAAACATTTCATTTCACTGAACGGAATATAAAAAATACGAAGCCATTTGTTTTAACCGAAGACCAGAACTGATTAACATGCGTTGGCGTCAGAAACTTTTTGAAGCACATCGTGTGTTTAAGAAAATAACACACGTGTGTCGCGTCTTTTCCACAGTTGCTAAACACGAGGCTATCTCATTTGACTATGGAAACATTAATTACTATTTAAAAATAAAAATAAAATTGCTTGATGATTTGTGTACACCTAAACTTAAACACAAAGTGGCTACATGATGGATATACCTGCATCTCATGTCTTCTAGGAAGTGAAACCTTAAAAAATTGGGCCAGACACGATTTGCCTTTGAGAGGAAGATCGTGATCAGGAGATAAAATGTTAACGCTTAAACTTTAGTGTTACACAATAGAGTCATTCTACTTCAAATTTATTTGATCATGTCCTGTGTGAAAATTGTTCGTAAAGTTACTAAATGGAAGATTTCTTCCACAACAAAATATGGACTGACCACATTGACAGAATGGGAAATCTTGATCACATCAGAAAACAAAATAAATGAAACGTTTTTAATAAGAGGAACATTATTGAATACTTAAGGTTCTTTATTTATTCTTGTGAAAATATTGCAATCGCTTAGATCAGTGTTTCTCAACCTTCGTAATGCCGCGACCCTTTAATACTGTTCCTCATGTTCTGGTGAGAACTTTAACCCAAACACTGATGATAAAATTATCATAAATTATACAGCAAATTAATGGAACATTTACGAATGTTTGAAAAAAAAAATTCGCCAAAAACTCAACTAAAATATAAACTGCTTAATATTCTTAAACTATATATATATACCAAGTTGTTTGGTTTGTTGTTAGGAAAGAATTATTTTGTATAATTAAAAACACACATTGTCTTTGTTCTCTTACAGGATACACCACGGCATTTCACGATGTGAACTATCCAGAAAAGAAAGAAACTTTTATTGTCTTCATGGACCCTCTAGACTTCAAGAAAAAGAGTTGTTCGGACGGCTACGTCCATGATGTTGATTACTTTATTCTTACTGGTTTCGTCAACATCACCAACATTCCCTATCCGATCAGATTTGGGAGAATCTTAGTTTGGTATTGGCATGCCTACTATTGGAGTTGGAGTTGGGTAATTTCATTTGATACCATTAGCAGTTGTTTTTTTTGTTTTTTTTCATAATTTCATGCTTTTGGCCCACAAAAAAATGAACGTTTTCGGTTCACGTTTGGCGGACGAATGTCGGACCGATGTCGTCATTATAAAACGGTGATCAAAAAAACGTGTTAAAGTAATATCGAAGATATTTTATTTCGATTGGAACTCGTCGGAAACATCTTCCTTTATCTGTTGATACAAATTGAACTCGTGAGAACATTTAAAAGTAGAAAGAAATAAAAACACAAAGCTTCATCCATTTTTAAGCATGGAAACGAACCAAATACAATTTCGTATATTCTCCAGATTGTTCCAAGCAATCAGGCATTGCGGGATGCACCTTGCAGAGATCAATCGCTAGTGGCTCCGAACAGATGCGTTTGTCTATTTCATGATGATAAGGAAATCCGTGTGAAGTGCAACATCACAATGGATGAGGTCTATTTTCAGACTATTTTCCGTTTAGGCTATATTCGTGATGATTTTTACTACAGTGAAATTTCTGAAAAACTTCCGTGGGTCTACAGTAGGTAACCTTAGCATGATGTAAATGTTTACGGCACTAAAATTTCTAGGCTAATAGGTGTCTGAAAGTACAAAATGACAGTTAATGTTAGTATAATGACAGTCTAAGATTCGTAAAAGAAAACCAGTAGATTTATTCTTTAAGTAATTGAGTCAAATAGATTAAAATAAAAATACCTATGATTGGTTTTTATGGGTTCAGTCGATGACACCAAAGTAGATCCTCCAATGCGGTGTTGCGAACATGGAACTAGCTGGTGGTTGGGAAATTGTGGGACTAGCATTTCGTTAGGGAATCATGGATTTAGCTGGTAAGAAGGCAATCATGGGACTAGATGATGTTTAGGAAATCATGGGAATAGCTGGTGGTTAGGGAATCATGGGAATAGCTGGTGGTTAGGGAATCATGGGACTAGCTGGGGGTTAGGTAATCATGGGGCAAGATAGTAATTAGGGAATCATGGGACCAGATGGTGAGTTGGGAATTATGGGACAAGCTGGTAGTTAAGGAATTATGGGTTCAGCTGGTGGTTGGGGAATCATGAAACTAGCTAATGGTTAGGGAATCAAGGAACTAGCTGGTAAGCAGGGAATCATGGGACTAGCTGGTAGTTAAGGAATCATGGGACCAGGTGGGGGGGGGTAAGGAATCATGGATTAAAAGTTGGGAAAGGAATCAGGAGAATAGCTCGTGGGTAGGGAATCAAGGGTCAAGCTGGTGGTTGGGGAAACATTGGACTAGCTGGTAAGTAGGGAATCATGGGACTAGCTGATGATTAAGGAATAGCTGGTGGTTTGGGAATCATGGGACTAGCTGGTAGTTAGGGAATCATGGTACAAGGTGGTAGGTAGGGAATCATAAGACTAGTTGGTGATTAGGGAATCATGGAACTAGCTGCTAAGAAGGGAATCATGGGTCTACCTTGTGGATAGGGAATCATGGGAATAACTGGTTGTTAGTGAATCTTGGCACTAGATGATGGATGAGAAATCATCGGACATGCTGGTGGTTAAGGAATAATGGAAATAGCTGGTGGTTTTGAAATGATGGGATAAGCTGGTGGGTGGGGAATCATGGCATTTACTGGTATAAGGGGAATCATGCGACTAGATAATGTTTGGGAAATCATGTGACTAGCTGGTATTTGGGGAATCATGGTACTAGATTGTGATTGGGGAATCAATGGACTAGCTGGTTGTTAGAGAATGATGTGACTAGCTGGTAAACAGGGAATGGGACAATCTGGTCGTTAGGGAATCATGGGACTTTGCGGTGGTTAAGGAATTTGGGACTAGATGGCGGGTGCGAAATCTTCGGACTAGCTGGTGGTTAAGGAATCTTGGTAAGAGCTAGCAGGTGGAAATCATGGGACTAGCTGGTATTTGGGGAATCATGGAACTAGCTTGTGGTTAGGGAATCATGGAACAAGCTGTTAGTTAGGGAATCATGGGATCAGCTGGTGGTTAGGGAATCAGGGGAATAGCTGCTTGAGTGGGGAATTATGGGACCAGCTGGTGGGTGTGGAATCATGGGACTAGCTGGTATTTGGGGAATCATGGTACTAGATTGTGATTGGGGAATCAATGGACTAGCTGGTTGTTAGAGAATGATGGGACTAGCTGGTAAACAGGGAATGGGACAATCTGGTCGTTAGGGAATCATGGGACTTTGCGGTGGTTAAGGAATTTGGGACTAGATGGCGGGTGCGAAATCTTCGGACTAGCTGGTGGTTAAGGAATCTTGGTAAGAGCTAGCAGGTGGAAATCATGGGACTAGCTGGTATTTGGGGAATCATGGAACTAGCTTGTGGTTAGGGAATCATGGAACAAGCTGTTAGTTAGGGAATCATGGGATCAGCTGGTGGTTAGGGAATCAGGGGAATAGCTGCTTGAGTGGGGAATTATGGGACCAGCTGGTGGGTGTGGAATCATGGGCCTAGCTTGTATTTGGGCAATCATGGAACTAGCTAGTGGTTAGGGAATCATGGGGCAAGCTGAAATTTAGGGAATCATGGTACCAGCTGGTGAGTGGGGAATCATGGGAATAACTGGTGGTTAGGGAATCATAGGAGAAGCTGGTAGTTAAGGAATCATGGGCCCAGCTGGTGTTTGGGGAGTCATGAAACTAGCCAGCTGGTAGTTATAGAATCATAGGACTGCCTAGCGGGTGGGAAATAATCGGACTAGCTGGTGGTTAAGGAATAATGGGACTAGTTAGCGGGTGGGATATCATGGGAATAGCTAGTAGTTAGGAAATAATGGGACCACCTGTTGGTTTCGGGAATCATTGGACTAGCTGATGTGTCTGGAAAAATGGGACTAGTTCGTGGATGGGGAATCATGGGACTATTTGATGGTTATGGAATCACGGGACTAGATGATGGTTGGGGATTCATTGGACTAGCTGGTATGTGGGGAATCATTGAATTAGCTTGTGGTTTGTGTATCATGGGTCTAGCTGGTGGTTAGGGAATCGTTGCTCAAGCTGGTGGGTGGGGAATCATGGGACTAGCTAGTAAGTAAGGAATCTTGGGACTACCTTTTCGTTGGCGGAATGATAGGAACAGCTGTTGTTTAAGGAGTCTTGGGACTACCTTTTCGTTGGGGAATGATAGGACCAGCTGTTGTTTAAGGAATCTTGGGACTACCTTTTCGTTGGGGGAATGATAGGACCAGCTGTTGTTTAAGGAATCTTGGGACTACCTTTTCGTTGGGGGAATGATAGTACAAGCTGTTGTTTAAGGAATCTTGGGACTAACTTTTTGTTGGGGAATGATATGACCAGCTGTTGTTTAAGGAGTCTTGGGACTACCTTTTCGTTGGCGAATGATAGGACCAGCTATTGTTTAAGGAATCTTGGGACTACCTTTTCGTTGGGGGAATGATAGGACCAGCTGTTGTTTAAGGAGTCTTGGGACTACCTTTTCGTTGGGGAATGATAGGACCAGCTGTTGTTTAAGGAATCTTGGGACTACCTTTTCGTTGGGGGAATGATAGGACCAGCTGTTGTTTAAGGAGTCTTGCGACTACCTTTTCGTTGGGGGAATGATAGGACCAGCTGTTGTTTAAGGAGTCTTGGGACTAGTCCAGGTCGCCATGTTACAGTGATTTTCCTGCAGGAGACATTATCGACAAGAAAAGTACATCGACATGGACAGTTCATTGACAAAAAAGTGCATTGACATGGACAGTTCATTGACAAAAAAGTACATCGACATGGACAGTTCATTGACAAAAAAGTGCATTGACATGGACAGTTCATTGACAAAAAAATACATCGACATGGACAGTTCATTGACAAAAAAGTGCATTGACATGGACAGTTCATTGACAAAATAGTACGTCGACATGGACAGTTCATTGACAAAAAAGTGCATTGACATGGACAGTTCATCGACAAAAAAGTACATCGACTGGGACAGTTCATTAACAAAAAAGTACATTGACATGTTCAGTCCATTGACAAAAAGAAAAGTGCATATTCACGGACATTTCATGATAAAAATTACAATATTTAAATCCATTCTTTATCTGAATCATCTTTATTGGGCGCTGCGGTTTTTTTGGTTTTTGTTTATTTTTGGGTCTCATTTCAAATTTGGTCTGAAGTTTGACAGGTGTTGCCAGCACTAGTGACATAGTCACATACGATAAATATATATATTTTTTTTTTAAGTTTACTTTTTTTTTATTGGCTAGTGTAATTATAATTAAAACTTCTTATCACCGAAAAATACAATAAACTTTGCCACGAGCTCTTTCTGAATTCTAAAAGATGAGCAGGTTTTGCTTTTAGAAATGCTTTATATAGATCCAAAGTTTAAAATAGTTTTTGTTAAAAATATTTACCATTTCAATCAAAATATTCATCAAAATACTGAAAATGAATTAGCACAATGTGATCAGAATATATCTCAGTGTATTGGGATCAACGAAAGAATCTCGGCTTGTCATGAATGTTAAATATTATATATATTACTATTTGAGGTAATACATCTTGCGTGAAGTGGATCAGCATCTATTCAAAAAATCAAGGTAAGCATAACATGTGATGTTTAGAATCAAGATTACTGTTAGAATTAGAGCACTGGTTACCATGGTTACCAGTTTTTGCACGTTTGATGCAAAGTTGTTATGTTTGTTTTTCCAAATTTTTAATTTATTGTTTTTTCAATTTAAAGTGATCATACATCACTTGGACCTGATAAAACCAGCAACCATATTGTGTAAATAGGGTTCTACTTAGTAAATAATGTGTACATAGGCCCCTACATAGTAAATATCGTGTACCAGAAAAGGGGAACCCCAATCTTATTCATGAAGGATTCTGGAGGGGTGTTGCCAGCACTAGTGACATAGATGCGTTATGGCCCTTAATTCACTCATGTTTAATGCTTATCGAAGAGACCCGTATGAACTACAAATATTAATCTAAACATTTTTTATTTCATGCCTATTTTAAGGATTACAAATGTTTTCTTATGATCAAATGAAAAGCAGTACATTAAAAAAAAAAGTAGTTTTTTTTTTCTTTTCTTCAGGATGTAGTCTTGTTGGAGGTAAAACTGCTAAGTCTGGTAAGTAAATTATAGGGGTATTGCTGCCCACAGTTACTACTTACCAGCTAAGTGCTATTTCTTATTTTTATTTTTATTACGTTTTTTCTGTTGTTTTGTTCGCTGACGAAGGCTTTCTGCCGACACGTTCGCTGTTTTTTTTGCGTTTTTTTTCAGGTTTAACCCTACTCTGTTTTACTCATTTTATTCAGTAAATTATATATGAATTGTCTAGTCTTGTTGGGTGTAACTTTGCAATGTCTGGTAGGTAAATTATACAAAAACTATCAAGTCTTGTTTGAGTCAACTCTGCTATGTCTGGTAAGTTATACATGAATTATATAATCTATTATGGAGACAACTCTGCTATGTCTGATAAGTAAGTTATACATGAATTATATTATCGTGTTGAAGAAAACTCTTCTATATCTTGTAATTACCTAGTAGAATGAAAAGGGGGCGATTTCCCATGGTGTCACTTTGGGGGAGGGGGTAGAGAATCGGGAAATTGTCAAACGAAAAAAAGAAAGAAATACAATGTCTTTACATCTATATCTATATAATCATTTTTAATCTTTACAGCTATATCTCTAAAATCATTCTTAATCTTTGCAACTAAAATTCGTCCTCTCACATATCTGAAGCTCTTGACATAAGGTAAGCTACGAGCTGAAATAGCTCCCATAGGTCTCTGTGTCAACCCTTACAATAATGGTAGGCTTAATAATTTATATTCTCGCCTATTTTTTTTGTAATTGTTGCTTGCTTAGACACTTATATAATTTTTCAAAGAGTTTCTTCTTCCACAGGAATGGCCATCATCATCACAACTTTGGTCTTCACGGCCTCATCACTGTTTTCATATGGCCAATGATCTCACCAACATCGGCACTGAGCTCCAAGCCTTGAGACTAAACGCTGAACATATCAGCAACAATAAATGTACTTTATGATATGTGAAAAATGTTCATCATCTATGGTACATAGGCAACAAAAAAAAAAAAAAATTGTAAGTACTAGATTTTAGAAATGCCTTATACTCCGAACACAAATGAATGGCAGCCAACATTTCAAAAGTCAGAACATAAATTAATTGAATAAAACTGTTCACTTTGAAAATAAAAAGTATTTTAACATAGAAGACCTCAATTTGTCCGAATCGCCTAAAACCAGAAAATTTTGACATTTTTAGGTCAGGGCATATTTTTAAACTTCTTACTTTGATTACTTTATTAACCTTTTAAATGCATATAAAAAACAAAAAATTTTGTAGCCATTTTTATGTTCCCTTCCATCATTAAATTCTCCTTATCAATTGCTTATACTTGGTTATAACGATGCTAAGTTTAGCGTCGGTGGTGGGGGTGGTCGTTTTGTTCTTTCTTCAGTTTAAGGATCCCAGGGTTCAATCTTAAAAAGAATCAGAAGGAAGCAGTTTACAGTGTTAATCACAACAGTAAGAAAAACATGGCCAAAACACTTTTTTATTAAATAAGCTTTGTTCTATATGTTTATATTAAAAACATTTAATGCATAACTAATAACATTGAAAAGAGTTTATGTATTAGAATAGCTATATATAACATTAAAATGAGTTGAAGTAATAATAGAGAAATGAATAAAATAAGTTTAAGACGCATTTGAATGTGTTAATTTTTTTTAAATTTCATTTTCAGTTCTAATTAAGATTTTTTTTAAGGAAATGGATAATATGAATAAAATGTGAGTTTTACATTAAGTAGACATCCCCCAAACCGCCCTCAAATTGTTTTTTTTTTTATTTGAAAAGCACTAATGATATTAATGGTGTCCAGAATTTTAGTTTAAAAACAATGTTCTACACCAATTTGTACTAAATCATGTTGTCCGAAAGGAAAGTTGTTTGAATTAAAAAATTTTCGAACAAAGATTTGATTTAAGTTAAAGTTTAAGTATTCTTACTTAGTTTTAGCTTTCGCAGCATTGGAGAATAGGCCAAAGCCATCTTAACAGCATCGGGGGCAGGCCCTCAGGCACCACACTGGAGTATAGGCCTAGGACATCTTAACAGCATGGGGGTCCTGACAAAAGTTATGCACTGAAGCAGGGCCATATTAACAACATGGGCCCTTGCAAACGTTATGCACTGAGACCGGGCCGTCTTTACAGCATCTGAGGTTCTGGACAAAGTAATACACTGAGACAGGGCCGTCTTTACAGCAACTGAGGTTCTGGACAAAGTCATACACTGAGACAGGGCCGTCTTTACAGCATCTGAGGTTCTGGACAAAGTCATCCTCTGAGACAGGGCCGTCTTTACAGCATCTGAGGTTCTGGACAAAGTCATACACTGAGACAGGGCCGTCTTTACAGCAACTGAGGTTCTGGACAAAGTCATACACTGAGACAGGGCCGTCTTTACAGCATCTGAGGTTCTGGACAAAGTCATACTCTGAGACAGGGCCGTCTTTTTAGCATCTGAGGTTCTGGACAAAGTCATACACTGAGACAGGGCCTTTTTTATAGCATCTGAGGTTCTGGACAAAGTCATACACTGAGACAGGGCCGTCTTTACAGCATCTGAGGTTCTGGACAAAGTCATACTCTAAGACAGGGCCGTCTTTACAGCATCTGAGTTTCTGGACAAAGTCATACACTGAGACAGGGCCATCTTTACAGCATCTGAGGTTTAGGACAAAGTCATACACTGAGACAGGGCCGTCTTTATAGCATCTGAGATTCTACTGAGACAGGGCCGTCTTTACAGCATCTGAGATTCTACTGAGACAGGGCAGTCTTTACAGCATCTGAGGTTCAGGACAAAGTCATACACTGAGACAGGGCCGTCTTTATAGCATCTGAGATTCTACTGAGACAGGGCCGTCTTTACAACATCTGAGATTCTACTGAGACAGGGCCGTCTTTACAGCATCTGAGTTTCAGGTCAAAGTCATACACTGAGACAGGGCCGTCTTTACAGCATCTGAGATTCTACTGAGACAGGACAGTCTTTACAGCATCTGAGGTTCTGGGCAAAGAGATTTACTGAGGCCATTATAGTCTCTTAAATCTTCAATTAATGATAATATAGGAAAACACTTTGGACCAAGGTCTGCCTATGCCTGTGATTTAGTGGGGGGGGGGGTGTTCCAGACAATTTAATTTCGGAGGTATGTGGGTCTTTAGGCTCTTATGAAAGAAGGCAGTGCATCTATAAGCTCCACAATTAGGTGTAAATTTGCACAGGGTCTGCGCTTATTATAGCGCTCCATCTATACATAAACAAATTTAATCCGGCTGTGGTGACCCCTGAGGGTATGCCTAATTTCACAACTGGAATCCATATAATCCAACTATATGCATATACCAACCAAGAGGAAAATAATATTTTTTTAACGTTCGGGGAATCATTTTAACACCTAACAAGAAGAATCCAGTGGGTTTTTTTTATAAATTAATACTTATATCAAAGAGTGTCAGTACTGTCCCTTTGATCGGGGTGCAGGTACTATCACTTTGGTTGGGAAGGGAGCAGAACTCCTGGGTAAAGAACGTCCCGAACGAAACTAGTTGTGCTTTTTGGGGAGGGGGGGTGGCTCAGTGATGTAAAAAAGGAAAAAAAGAATATTGCATTATTTTGCTGTCGATTTACTTTTCACAGATATTATTTTTTTACACACAGTTGCTAAAGACACTCAAGTGTATAGAATCTTTTAAAATACATTTTTGATCCCATAAAACATTAAATATTTGCTAAAACTAAAAAATGTTCGGTTTGAAAAAAAAATTGAAAGAGTTATTAATAACATTTTTTTCAAATGCTGAAGTTTTGGCTGAAAAAAGGTATAAATAAAGCTGCCCTGGCCCTGGGGAAAACTATATTTATTTTTTTAAAGGTATAAAACAGTTAGGACAATTTGATTAACATGGTAAGAAGAGCTCTGCGTTTGAGTTGTTTCCCTTGTTACGAAGAGCACGCTTTTTAACTTTACTAGAATTTGACAGATCTTGCATTCAAGAACAGTAACGCACTTTATGAGAATCCAAATTGGTGCCTCGCTTACCCCCTGCCCCCTTCAAAGGGCTCGCAAACACACATTTTTTTTCACGCCCCTGAACTAGATTAATATTCTAATGACCCACCCGCTTTTCCACAAAAGATTAATTTCACTTCAGAAAAAAAAAAAGAAATATTACGCACCAAACGCACTTGCGGGTTTAAAAAATAACTTTTAATTTAAAGAATCTCATTGAGCACAGTTACAGAGGCTTCATTTTATCTTCTCCTTGGAAAACTTATTTTTGTTGGGTTTGGCGACGAAAATTAGATATAACGTGTTGTCATCGACAATGAGTCTTTATACACAATTTTAGCTCGACAGCTTAACGGAAAGAGGGTCCATTAGCCATCAGAGGATTTCAGCCAGCCACAAACAAAAGTGAATCATATATAAAGGATTGTAAAAAGCGTTATTTCATTACTTTTTCCTCAAAAACTTCTTTTTTTTAAAAAGTTTTGCCAATATTTTCAGGATTCACATTCGATGATAAACAGTTTGTTTTCATTCGTGTCCGTGAATTCAGAAAATCTGTAATTTGTTTTGTGGGATTCTATTGTTATCTTTATCTCATATCATCGCCAATACATCAATTCTATTTTTAAAAACTCAAATCATATCATGCCACAAGGTTTTAAAAATGTCACGGTTCCACGCACACTGATTTAATAAACGTGTATCCGATGAAACTTGTTCTGCCTTACAATTTATAATGCAACATTTTACCCCACTTCCGAGACTGTGACAGACAAAACATTTTACCCCCTTTACAAAACTTTAACAGACACATTTTACCTTACTTCCAAGACTGTCACAGACACAACATTTTACCCCACTTCCAAAACTGTGACAGACAAAACATTTTACCCCCTTTACAAAACTTTAACAGACACATTTTACCTTACTTCCAGGACTTTGACAGTAACAACATTTGACCTCACTTCCAAGACTGTGACAGACACAATTTTTACCTTCCTTCCAAAACTGACAGTCACAACATTTTATCTTAGGTCCAGGACTGTGACAGACACAGCAATTTATCTCACTTCCAAGACTGTGACAGACACAATATTTTACCTCACTTCCAGGACTGTGACAGACACACCATTTTACCTCCCTTCCAGGACTGTAACAGACACACCATTTTACCTCCCTTCCAAAACTGTGAGAGTCATAACATTTTACCTTACTTCCAAGACTGTGACAGACAATCTCCTGCTTGGAAATGATTACGATGCTACTTTAAAATGTCAGAGAGTTGTATTTAAACATGTCCGTGCAATATTTTTTAATTCTAGAAGAATGGCAATTTAATTTCATAGGAATAATTTAACTCACCGAATTTGAACAAAAATATTGTAATCTTGTCCTCGGAGTGTACATTTTATTGTTTCAACTGATCAGGTTCGTGGTGCATTTTGTATTCCCTGATACGCCACACGCACATTGAACTTACAGTGGACGAATTATTAGCGTAATACTTCTACAACTGAACACTATTTGAGCTATGTTCATTTGTGAAAACACAAGGCAACATTATGACGATAACTCCTACAAAAGATTTCGTGATATTTTGATAATTTTCAAGAAATAAATAAGCTATTTTTGGACTGTCAGAATGTCATGTTGATTAATTTTAGATTTTTGTAAAAGATGAAGCACTCTCTGCCGAGCACCATTCCCCGCCATTAACACGCTTACGAAAAATCGACGACTCCCCCCTCCCACAGTCCTTGCGTACTTAATGGATGGCCTCTTATCATATAATAATGTTAACTTTTAGCATAGATGGATAATAATTCTTAAATTCAATTGAATTATCAATCTTTTAAACACATGACTAATATGAATAATAATTATTTTGACAAGCGTCCCACCAGTATACCCTTATGGCAGTGGTTCTCAACTTTTCTAATGCCGCGACCCTTTAATACAGTTCCTCAAGTTGTGGCGACCCCCAAGCACAAATTATTTCTTTCATACCTTATAACTGTAGAGGTATGTGTTTCCAGATGGTCTTAGGCGACCCCTGTGAAATGGTCGTGCGACCCACAGGTTGGGAACTGCCGCCTTATGGCATGCCGCTAAACCAAACTCATATTCGTGCAAAGCCAGCGGGACTGTGTCCCTTGAAAATGACGTTGACACAAGCAACAAGGGCATGCTGGGTTTAAGAAGTCTCCTCAACGGCCCTCTGCTCATGATTTCAGTAAATGTAGGAATAGGCACACCAGCTAGAATTTCGTGGAAGCAGATTCGGAGAATTTGGAATTTATAAGAAGTTACGAGTTTTTCATAAAGTAGGGTGTGTTAAGCGAGTGATCTATTTCTTACTTTATTCAAAGAAAATTATATGATTTCAAAGACAGTAATTAGGAAGTTTATTTAATTGTAAGATATATTGTGGAGCTGGAGAATTGAGAACATATTCTTGT